AAATAGTTAGCATCAGCTGGTTGTCCAGACCGTCCTTTGACAAAAAGCTGCTTGCACAAATCACGCTCAGCCTGCAATAAGGCCGAAAATCCATAGAGATCCAAACCTCTACGAAACTCGTTTAGATAGAGGAGACGTTTGCTGACAATGCTAACCATAACAGTTCCAATGATATCATCAACATGCTCTTTATCGATCTTGCCAGTGTACTCGTGCTCCAAAATGACATCTTGCATCAAAGTTGTGTTATCTTTGATACTTTTTATCAGCGTTTGCTCATGAGCAGTTTTTCAGGAATAAGTGCATTCATGTTGAAACTTCCTAGAACAAGCATATCATAAACACAATCCTCTAGGAAACATGGCATTCATGTGGGCAAATTGTTGCAACTAGCATCGCCCAAGGAGGTCCTCCGCCATGTTTCCTAGAGGATTGTGTTTATGATATGCTTGTTCTAGGAAGTTTCAACATGAATGCACTTATTCCTGAAAAACATTTAACGTCTCATGAGCAAACGCTGATAAAAAGCATCAAAGATAACACAACTTTGATGCAAGATGTCATTTTGGAGCACGAGTACACTGGCAAGATCGATAAAGAGCATGTTGATGATATCATTGGAACTGTTATGGTTAGCATTGTCAGCAAACGTCTCCTCTATCTAAACGAGTTTCGTAGAGGTTTGGATCTCTATGGATTTTCGGCCTTATTGCAGGCTGAGCGTGATTTGTGCAAGCAGCTTTTTGTCAAAGGACGGTCTGGACAACCAGCTGATGCTAACTATTTAGTATCATGTTTCGTGCCATATTATTCGGAAAAAGGAAGCTCGCGGCGTGTGATTGAAGAGGAAATGATTGACTTCTTTCAAGATGTGCTAATGAGTATGGAAGACCAGAATGTAACAGGCTATGTCGAAGATCTGACATGGAGTGATGGAGAAGATAGTCTTGGTAACATGCAAGACAACATGGAAAGGATCACTTCCCTGTCTGCAGATCTAACACCATCAGGAGTTTTGGGGTGGCTCACCGGACAAAAACATGTACCTATTAATGGAGAAAAATTAAGAATCGGAGTTCATTTTGATCATGATTGTATGTCACGTAATACCATGCATAAAATCTGTTTCCCAATAGTAGGATCATGTGGCAGAGACATTACATTACCAGTTGAGCATATGAAAACAAGTGAAGATTTCAAGCACGTTTTCATGATTGCCTACTGTAAGGGTCAGAGTTTTGGGAAAAGATAAAACTTGTCATTCTAAATCAGTAACACCTTATCAGTAATTGATTATTATGGAATGGTCACTTTTTTGTTTGATTCACCCCAACGGCACCTTTTGATTCTACTTCTTTCAAAACTATGTACTTACTAAACGCTTGTTAGTGAGGAAACATTTACTATACACTTTGTTAATTTTTATGTTAGCAGATAAATGTGTTTGCTACCTACAGAAGATACTACGTACATTTTTTGTATAAACAAAATATATTAGATTAATTTGTCTTTGCTGATTTGCTTTGTTAGTGATTATAATTTCAAAACAAATCATCTGGGCAGAGTTGAATATTTGAATATTCTCCCCACCCCACTCCACCCCACTTAACATTCTAGCTTCGTCCCTGCCTATAGCTACATGCAGTCTGCTGAAATTGAATGTTGGCAAGTATATTTACTTTGCATAGTACTGAAGAGTATTGTAAAGCTCAGTTGCCTGTTTCCAATCTCTTGGCTTGTCGAGATCACAAGATTGTAACACATAGTTGACATATTCTTGGAAAATGTTTTCTTTTTCACTTTCCACTATGTGTGATCGAGCATAATGAATTTCGGCAGAAGTAACCGACAGTAAAAAGTGATTGCCACCATCACATTGCTCAGGTAAATAAATGATTGAATGGCTGCCATTATTCCATTTTCAGTGCCTAAATCTGTTACAAGATCAACAGTACATCCACCAAAATGTTCGACAGCATCTAAGTAAAAACTGGCTATATCACCTGGGTGGTTGTTGGATCTAGTTACTTTTAGCCAGAGTATCTTTCTACTCCACCCATCAATGCAACAATGTATTGGAAATCCGAAAGGCTTCATTTTATCATAGCCGTCACAACGCCAAGCATAATTTGTGTCTGGATTTCGGTATTCCTTTCTTTTCAAGCGATGTGCTCGTCTTCGTTCAGTTCCTTCAGGACATATTTCACGCAAAATCTCCTGAACAGCTACTCCAGGTACTTGTATGCCATTAAGTCGTAGAGTGTGCCAAACTGACCTATAACCCTGAAGACTGCCATGACCATCAACAATACTTCGTATTGACTCTCTTACAGTAGTGACGTCGTATTCAACTTGCCTCCTTCCTAGACCATATTTCTTTATTCTTCTCTTTAAAGTGCTAATGCTTAATTCTATGTCGTGGTATTTCTGTAAAAATCTTCTTATTTCTTCATAAGTAAAATCTCTATAAAAATAGTATCGTATTATATCTATATATATATACCGTAGTTGATAACCTTCCACTGAAACAAAAAAGAATTTCAAAACAATCTATATTTAACTTTCTAAATAATGGTGTATGTGTCATTTACTTTGTGTCAAATTCTCATCTTATTAAGTTTTTAACTATCGTAAGTATATGTATAAAAAACTTTTGTAAAGTGAATGGGCACGTCCCCTCTCTTAAGAAGATTAAGGAAGCCTCAGCCCAGCTTCCACTTGCTTCCGACCACCATGTCCTTCTTAATCCTATATGACTCTCATTAAATCTACATTATCAAAGATTCTTGTCAATATACCTGTCTCAGAATCAATAGAAAAACTAATGGCAACCAGTCTGGGTCTGCACTCAGACTTACCATTACAATGTATACAACTGTAGGTGAAAGCTCGCGTCAAAGCTACGTTTGAAGGCAATGGGATGCTTCTTCACGTCCCTCGGTTTCCTCTAATGTTCCTTGGGACGGGGGTGTTCACATACCTTCTGCACCATCTGTTCCTGCTGCTGTTCCTCCGAATTCTTCCAGATGTTGCGGTCGACGGCTCTTCGACTGTGGCTTACGATACATCGGAAGCAATTTTAAGTGGTTCCTTTCCTCACGCAGAAGCTTTTTCTCCTGCTCTTGTTAGCACAAGTTGGGGCAAAGATAAAAGTCTTTGCTACCCTTCACCATCTTTGGCCAGACGACCTGCTTCTTCTCCTTCTCCTTCGTCTGACGCTCAAGCTCCCAAGCAACATGCCTTGAAGATTACATCGGATCAGAATGAGAATGGTTCCTCTAATGATGACTGCGATACTGGTTCTTTTCCAACAGTGTTAGAAGATCCTGCGATTGGAGATGTTTTGGAACTCGTTGATATGGACTCGAATCTACAGGACATGCTTGAGGATAATTGTGAATAAGATTCTCACTCTGAGTGACCTAGCAGCCCAGGTTCCATTCATACTATTTAATTTATTTCAAATCTCTTTTTCAGAGGTCGAACAGCAATTTGATTTCTTTTTTCCCCGTTAAATTAATGGATTTCAGTGGTCTTTATAGCTTAAATGGTATCACTCTGAATTTTCAGGGTCTATACCAATCTTATAAGAGATTATTGACCATTCTCCACTGTTTTGTTGGTGGAAAGTCCCTTGCATAGATTGTCTTACCTTCAAGTTCTATTGTTTTTTTGTCTGGGAATTTCATTGGGCCAAGTCTCTTGCTGTCCTCAACAGTGCACTTTATTAGGGTACTTTGAGTTTGAGTTAGTACACTGGAGTGGAATCATCACCCTTCTTTACGAACGTACGTGCTTCCTGCATGGTCATGAAAAATTGCATATGTTTTTTTTCTATTCGGATTAAAAATCGTCTCCAAGGTGTTGACAAAGGGCCTTTCAGCTTTTATTTCATCTCTGGTCTTGCCTTGTCAGAGCTGAGGCATACCAGGTCGTTTCTCTGGAGGATTTTTTCTTTTGTTAGAAGACTTTGCGGACTATGCCAACACCACATTCTTCAGCTGCGTCTTACACTCTCCTGTCCAAGAAAACGCCTCAAATTATGTTTACTAGGCGTTTACGTCATGCGTGTTAGTAAAGGCGAGCTTAGGTTCATCTTTTTTTCCTGGGTGTCACTTTTATGTACCTGTCATTTATCTTCGTCTTTGTCAACAGCACACTTAATTGCTCTCGTGGGGTGCCGCAGGGTTGTATATCGGTCGCCCTTAATGCATTTCCTGGTGTCAAAAATTTTGACTAGGGCCATCATGAACGATCCCCCTTTTGACGGTATTTGCCAGCCTCTGGTGCAAGGGTTGAGCATCAACAAGATGCTTTTGACACCAGCTATCTGGTACCATTCAATAATATTCTGCCAGTCTTTCCTGCTCTTTTTGAGGGATTTGAACGAATTTTTTTGCTAAGCTCAACATCGCTATATAGAAATCACTAAATGATTTCAATTCATTCCTCGTCCAGCCCAAGTTACTCAATTAGATTCAAGATACAATTTGAGAACTGTACGTAACTGCATAAAGTACAGTTAAGTTTAGTCTATCACACTATCATTTAATTGTAGGCGAGTCTATTAGTGGCATCAGAAATTTTAAATCGGAGTACGGCTTCATCTAGAGCTACAGCTATAAAAAAATGAGTTGTCGTTGCCGATGCTTGCTGCAACTTGTGCAATTTTAACACATTTATCTTGGATCATCTTTTATCCGTTCCAATGAGGATTATCTCTTATTGATTCATTATAGATCAGATCTGCTCGTTTCAACGTTTATCTTACTTGATGGGATATTGATCTGAATCTGATCGGGTTTGATTTAGCGAAGACTGTGTTGAAGTAGTTAAGGTGCTACTTGTGAGAAATCTATATATATTATGCTTATAGGTATGGATTATCTCTTCAACGAAGAAATCTTGATGGAAAAAAATTCGCTGTACGAAACCTCTCTCACATGGTAGCCAAAAAAGCGTCAATCATAATTGATCCTTCTTTAATTTAAACTTATTACTAAAATGGAAATTTTTTATTTAAGGTGAATTTAGCTGAACTTGGAAAGATTATGTTTAGCAATAAAAGGACATTCAATAAAAAAAGAAAAAATTACTCCAGATCCTTACAACACATAGATCAGTGTCTTGGCAGTGTGTTTCTTAGCAAGACAGTTGCCTAGCAACATAGTATTCAAAATTTTATCATCGTTTACACGTGGTTCAAACTTTCAAAGCATAGAGATTATAAATAAAACAAAACATTTGTATTATTTATAATCTCTTTGGTTCAAAGTCAATACATCATATCACTATAGCATAGAATCTTCTGAGGCAGACGCGAATGGATCCTCTTGAAAAAGAAAGCTGCGTAGGATTTCTAAATAAGATAATTAAAGTAATTTCACTGACATAAATGTTGTTGGGTTCTTTACGATTATATTGGAAATCATTCTTTCTGTTGTTTAGGGTCAAGAGTTAAGTTACATTGAAGAGCACATTCCAATGTTTCTAAGGTTAGCTTTTTTAAGTATTTTTTACTGCTTTTATTCTAGTTTTTTATTTCCAGTCATAAAATACTTGGTTATTATATTAAAATTCCCGAATATTTGACGTTGGGTTGATTTTGATTTATTATTTGTATCAGATGGCTTAAAAGCTCACAAAATTCCTCCTTTCAAAGAAGTGCATTTTTGTGCTTAATTTCAATTCACAATCATTATGGAATGGATCTTTTTTCAGAAGGTATGAAAATATTTCTATAAAATCATTAAACATTGTGAATTTACTTCATGAGAACTGCATGGGCCATATGTAAAAATGTTAATTGCGGAGGAGGGAGGATGTTCATGTATTCAGATATATGCCCCAATATTTTCTTTTTAATGTGAAAAGGAAAATCAATGAATATTCATGCCACAATTAACATTCTAGCTTTGGTTCTGTGGGTTGAACCTTCCTAGAATCTCTTTGATTTCTTTTAAAAAATGTCTAATTCTGTAGCAATTTAGCTTTGCCAATATAATTTTCTAACTCTTACAATTACAAGGGTGAATACTGTATGCAGTTTTACACTTTACCAGTTTAATGAAGTCAAATCTATTTTTAAAGCTGGTTCAATTACAAACATGTATGAATGAATTTTTTGTATGAAATTGTACCAATTGTCAAATATGTAGTTCATACAGTTTCTATATACCAACATTTTCATATGGATAATACTCCCTTTTGAATGAATTACAGTACTGAAGCAGCTAAATATTCAAGTTGTAAATTTCCCTTCTTAAACTTTGATTAAAAAAATAAAAAAAATCATGTAAAAAAGTCAGCAAATTTTTTTGAAATGATTACAGTAATATGAACACAATGTATAAATTTACTTCCAGTTGAAATATTGTCTTCTGAAAGTGAAACCAGATAAAATGTCATTATGGGTTGAGATAACCTTTATAATTAGTGTACTTAACAAAGGCACTCTTTAATTGATGAAAGAGTCTTACATCGACTTCAGCTTAAAATCAGGCTCCTATGTGTTTAATGTTAGGCGTTTTTCTCTTTTTAAATTAAATAAGGGCTCCCAAATTTGAGAGAGATCAGAAAACTGTCACATTCATTCTTATTTTGACCTGTAACATACATTGGTATTGTTTTTCATTAACGTTTGCACATTTACAACCCCTTAAAGTACTACCTACATACCTTGCTGTAACAAATCATTAAAATCATGATGCCATAGGGTCCTGGGACCTGGCAGAAAATTTTATCCTGGGTTTTTCAAATTCTCTTGACAGCCTTGGTACGTCGCATCAAATGAGCAGCCTCTAATCAGCAAATGAGCAACCTCTTGGATATGGTAGACTCCTTCCTAATGTTCAACTTTCTTTAATTAGAGCATGTTATCTGTGTCAACAAACTGATGCTTCAATGGCTTTCCAATGCAAGTCGTGTGTCGGCACCAAACCCCTATCAACGCGCAATATTCAATTCAAAAACAATGGTATGATAACTGACGTAAACATATATGTAGTTTAACTTTAAAACTACTTTTTATGGTTGAGGTTCTCAATTTAAATTTGAAAGTAGCAGTTTACCTTTGAAACTTGTATTTTAACCTTGAAACTTGCAGTTTAACCTTAGACCTTGGTGCTTAATAATCCTTAAACTTGTAGAGTATCCTCGATAATACTCGAGATTTACCCTTAAAAATGGTTTTAAACTTATAGCTTCAACCTGTGACAGAAGTAGATGGAAAGAACTGCGAATCGTTTTTTACTGTTTTAAACATTGCCCATTATTGCACTATGGATCAATGGTTGAACATCGCTATATTCTCTTCAGTACGCTGGTGGCTGTTAACCACATGGTCCTACCAAAACGGCTTTTGTGGGATCAGCACTAACATACCTTGTGATTTAAGTAGTATGAGAAGTGAATCGCCTATACCCTTTGCACAAGCATCTTTTGTAGAACCAATATTTTTTGACGAGCGCAACTTACGAACCCAGGACGCAAGTGACAAGAACGAAGATTTGTTGTCATCGCCGTTGCCTAGCAATGATGACTGGAATGCTGCTAGCACGCCAATTAAAGATACTGATGAAAACAGGAGTGTGAGCAGTTGCAGCAATTTGTCGGGCACGCGCAGGACTTTTGGAAGCGAGTCTAGTTTTTTTTCGGAGTCCTATCAGGATGATACTCTGGTGCAGAAGACTATTGCGTATTGCTATAGGCTACTTAAACAGACTGAGTATAGTAAGTATGGTGGTGCAGTAAAGTACGGCGATGGATCCACTATAGTATTTTAATGGGGGTTGTATTGCTTTTTGGGATTAGATTTTGGTGGTTACTTTTTTTCCGTAGGTTTTTTACGTCAAGTTCTATTTGGTATTATTTTTGGAACTTTGCTTCAATAAACACTAATCGTTGGGAAATTAGTAATTTTTAGTGAAATTCGCACCCCTACTGCATCCTTAGCCAACGCTAGGGATGGCGTGCACCTCTTTGCAGCCCCCCCCCCCTAGAGCGCCTTTTTATTGCGCATAGTGATACGTACGAAAAGCTTGCTGTTTGAATTGTATTTTCATTGAAAAAGAACTTTTCAAGACATTTTTGCACAACTCTTTATTCTCAGAATATAAAGGATTTTTGAAATGTCCTTTGGTGTCCGACAAGGTTTTGATGAAATGTTTCAGCAGCATTTTTAATGTACCTGACAATTCAAGTTTAATTATGCAGTGCTACGTCACTGGTTGAGTAAATAGGACGTTTATGATGATTTAAAATTTCAAAATTTTTGTACGATGAGAGTAAAATTAATTTATTTAGTTATATATTTTATAGACACAACGACATTACATGATGTTTCGTTACAAAAAGCGGTAAGAGACTGGGTTTAAATAAGAATTTATACATCTGTAAATTGGCTATGTTGCCATCACTACCTAATGCTTACCCTTAATTATATTTTCTTTACATTACACACTCAATCATGTGTTTCCCCTCAATTATTATGTCCCCTCTCTAATACCGCACCCCATATTTATCATTGTGCTCCTTCTATATCATCATGCTCCCGACGTATCCTCATGTTCCCTCCACAATATTTATGTTATCTCTTCATGATGTTTGCTTTCCACAATGCTATTTCCTCTTATTAAGCATGTCTTCTCACATTAACATCTCCCACATCCATTGTCAAATGACTCATATCCCCTCATCATGTACCTATCCATCATCGTGTCCCCCTTGTTTCATCATGTAAAATGGGAATATTGTACCTTTTTATTTTGTTGTGAACACAGCCACTTCACTGTTCAGGTTTCCACTTCACTCCTTTCATTACACATCAACCTCATCCTAAAGGCTGAAACACACTAGGCAGTCGCTTTAGTCGCGCGTCTAAAACTACCGCTTTGCGTGGTTACTAAGCTAGTAGCGTAGTCGCGTCAGCTAGTCGCTTTGAAAGTTCAACATGTTGAACTTTTGACTTTGGTCGCTTCAGTCGCTTTACACTGATTGGCCAATAGATACATTTTAACTTCCTAAATGCATATCATATTTCCTGTCATAAGCATCATATGAAATTTATAGATCGTACCTTGGAAAGCGAAGGCAATATATAGTGAATTCACACTAGAATCTTTCAGTTTTTATATGACTTATCAAATAGGGACAATAGGAGCTACAAACTGGAACCCTAATGCACAACCTAAATGCACAGAATAGGATTATCCACGATGTACGCGTAATGTGCTATGATCATATTGGCGTGTTTTAACTGGCTTGTTCTCTTTTCTCCACGTAGTAGTTTGTACTGAGTAAATATTCATATATTAGTAGCTATAATAAAGGCCAAAATAAAAAGTTTAAGTGATATCTGTGTCTGTAACAAACTAAAATCACCGCCATGTTCAATAGACCCCTCGGTAAATGTCGCGATGGTCGCTGCATGTGTGTTTCTAGCGTTCATGCGACTGACGCGTGCGCGTCAATTCGCTTTGGACGCGCGACTGAAGCGACTGCCCAGTGTGTTTCAGCCTTAACATCTTGCAGCCATTGCTCCTTATACCTATTTTCAATGTTCTCATTCACTTCTGCAATATAAGTTGTGTTTGATACCATTTGTTTACTTTTCACTAGGACAAATGTTCCTATCTTCCTTACACCGTAACCTTAATTTTTATCCATTCACCTTCATATTTGTCACTTAAAACACTAATGCCGAACAGAGGCGCCAGTGAGGGAGGGGGCAACTGCCCCACCAATATTTCTGCTCTTAGGCATCGAGCACTGTACGTACGGAGATTCAAATAAACAAATCTTCCTATATATATATATATATATATATACATATATATATATATTATATATATATATATACAAAGTGTATAACAATGCGCCCTCCCGGCTATCACCATAGTAAGTTGGTGACTCCTGCACTTGGGACACAGGACGTACGGTTACACATTGCATGGATTGTATTATAGAGTCACCACAGTGCTCAAACCTAAAAAGGTGAGCTTTGCATATCGCGAACACGGTGAACGTCTCCATATGAGACTCCCTGCACAATCCGACAGTGCTCAAACTACGCACGCGCAGTGAGCGTAATATACAAAGTCTATTACAATGTGCCCTCCCAGATATATATATATATAGGCTATGTGCCTCCCGGCTATATATATATATATAGCCGGGAGGGCACATAGCACATAGCCTATATATATATATATATAGCCGGGAGGGCACATTTAATATTATCCCCTGAAAAGTGAGAAATCACGAAACAGGCTTGTCGGGATGAATTTGTAGTTTTTGTGTATTTTCTTCTTCTCATCAATATATATATATATATAGCCGGGAGGGCGCATTGTTATACACTTTGTATATATATATATATAATATATATATATATGTATATATATATATATATATATATATAATATATATATATATGTATATATATATATATATATATATAGGAAGATTTGTATATATATATATATATATATATATATATATATATATAGGAAGTTTATATTTGATGGTTTTCCGCATAAAACAGTGCTCGATGCCCGAGAGCAGAGCGTAAATATGTGTAGTGGTGTTGAGAAAAATCACAAAACTACAGATTCATCCCGACAAGCCTGTTTCGTGATTGCTCACTCTTCAGGGGATTTAATCAGTTAAAAACACTCGCCACAAGCTATCTATAGGTAGTTGCTTTTTGTAATGATGGTGAATTTTAAATGAAATCTTAGTTTCAAATGAAAAATAACTTGAAGTTGGGAGGATTTTCGTTTGAAAAATGGTTCCATGATCAGAAATAGCTAATGGTTAATTAAAGCGTTCCTTTTGTAGTGCGTTATTGAAGCCGTGAGTCTGTTGGATTTCTTCTGTGAGAAAGAGGCAGACTTAGTTCCCAGAGCCATACAAGCCGTTCGCAAGGTTGACAATCATGTAAAGAAATTGTCAGAATGGGTCGAAGTTTTGCTGCCCATTCTTTTGTTTTATATCAAATACGGTAAGAAAAACCTCTGGGACAAAGTTTTTTAGAGTAGGGCTGGACGGGGGTGGGAATACTGGTTTACTTACAGGATAAAACTGTCCAATGCTATTCTTTTACACAATTGCAGATCCCTACGTTCCCTAATCACTGACATAAAATCTTTACAATTTACTCCATGTTTTCAGACCGCTTCAATTTCAAAGCAGAAAATATGAGCTAAAAGCATTTTGGAAACATTGATCTGTTTACTGTTTAGATGGATCTCGTTATTGTTGTTTTTGTATTGCGTAGTTTCTTTATTAATTGTTGATGCTATTAATAAATTTTTGAAATTAAATGCCCCCAGTTAACTTAAGAAAGTTTTAAGAAAGCAAACGATAAAAGCACCATCTTTTGCATTTATTTACTATCCGAAATTTGTCAATATCCATGATATGATCCATGTGCACGGTGGTTGGAGTACTTTATGTTACTTACTTTATTTACAACGGATTTTATGGTTTTTGTTTTGTTTGTAGGCGAAGCTGTTATTCTTGATGCCGAACCTTACATTCGCCATTTCTTTGAAGACATTTTATACAACAGCTTTACCAGGTGAAATCATTTGAAGAAAACTTCTATTAGACCCAATTATATCCCTATAGAACCAACCTTTTCCCTTTTGAACACCTGAAGATGATTCCTACTCTACTTTTGTTAGTGCATTTTCCTTTTCGTCAACTTTTGTTTTCATGTTAGCCCCGAGCTTGCATTTGAAATCGTCGACTTTTGCATTGAAAACAAAGAAGAATTGCGACAGTCGACCAACATTTTCTCAAAATACTTCCCCAATATATTCAAGGTAAAAGTCTTGTCTTATGAAATACATTTTTCTAACGAGTCTTGTCATGAAGAGCTTTTTGTGCCTATGTACTTACAATGTTGGTTTGTTCAAAACCTATACAACATTGTAGAACTTATAGCTCTACAGATATTTCTATAAGGAAATGGTGATATCAGCCCGATTAAGTAGCACTGCTATGCAAATTTATCTGTGTTCAACCCCTGCATGAAAACACTAGATTTCTAAAGGAATGAATAATGAAAATGATCTGAAATTTACTCATTAGGGCCAAAACATGCGCACTGGTTTCGCTACGGCAATAAGATTTGTGAATTTGATAATTTTTTTATCAACCCGACTAATATTTTACTTTGGAGATTGGTATTCTCTAGCAAATCACGAGAAAAGTACGTAATGCACTTATGACATGAAACTGATTTACGGATTCCATAAGGTGTTAACCCATTGATGGATGTGCACCCTCTCTGACCTTGGCTTGAAGGGGTGCAAATTTCCCTACGAGATATTAATACACCTATCAATTTAGGTAGAACATTTGTCAAACTACACAATTCTTATAGTCTCAAGTCAAACCCAGAAAAAGTCTGACATGTGAATAACATAACGACACCCACAAAGGTGCCACCGAAATCTCATCCAAACTTGACTAACAATACGACATGTTAAAAACTACAGCGTTTCTCCCTCCCCTAAAATATCATCCTAGATCCATCCCTGTGTTAACATCACTCTCCCTAAACGTTTATGTTTGTTCTCTTATGTTAAGTTTTCGTGAAAGTTAAGAACATTTTACCTTCATTTCACCTTTTGCAACAATTTTGAGAACAATTTTTCATGAAACTTTTATTAACCTCGTACTTTTCTGCAGTTGATAGTCTAAGCTCTACAACCTATTTATGATTATTTTACTCTTTCTATTATAAAAAAGTAATCCGCCTCACTGCAAAATTCAGCACGACGATCTTAATGCTAATTTCCTTTTTTGTGAAGATTATTGCTTGGTTTCCAAGAACGTTTCTCAAAGAATTCATGGAATTATTGCCGATGATGATCAATGAAAATAATTATGTTGAAGTGAGTATTTTTACTCAGTTATCTAAAATTAAGCATTTGACAATTTAACTCAAACATCACATCACTTCTGATGAAGACATTAACTAAATTGTATATGTGGGCGTAAGTTTCAAAATCAGATCACTCCTCATAAAGACGCCAAACTACAGTTTTAATAACTCAAGTTTCAACCCCCGATCACTACTATAATGAATCTAGATTAAATATTCTGATGTAGAAGGCAAACTGTATTTGTGAATACAAACTATCATCGGATCACTTTCGTGAAGAGCTCTAAATTTACTATGATTCTTAATTTCCATTGTAATTTCTTCTAAGATCTTTCATCTTCTCCTTGATCTTCCTTGCCTTTCTGCTGCACTGATGACCGTACAACAATCAAAAAGATGTAAGTTTGAACTAAGTCTTTTGTGTCAAGCATTGCAAGATTCGGAATTTTCTTGTACCTTCAGGCAGCGCCAAGACAAACTCGGAATCCATCGTCGTCTTGCGTAAATCTGTCAAAGCATATAACAATTCGAAATTCAGGGGATTGTTTTCGTTCATTTTAAGAAGGGAAAGTGGCATTGCTGATACCATCAATAGGTAAATTTTATTTATTTATTCATTACAATATTTGCTTTGGCTTAAATTTTTTAGCTGAAAATCACAGAGATGATCGATGATTCGACATATAAATCTCGTACTAATTGGTGCCCGCGTTATTTTAACTGCGGTATTGTATATTTAATTGAAAAAGAGCGGGAAATTTGTAAAAATCAGTATTTGCTATGACCAGTGTGACCATCTTTGTAATTTTTATTACTTTCAGTAACTTTTGGCTATTTTTTGGTATGTTTTGGTAATTAGAAAACTTTAGTAATTTTTTTAAATTTTAGTAATATTTGACTTTTAAGAACAAGATTCAGTTTCAAACTTTCCTAACTTTTAAACTTTTTGTTTTTCATGACGATGAAGTTTTGGTGTTTGCATGTGTCAAAGTTGCACGTTTTGAGCATAGTCTTTCTTTGTATAAATAAGAGCAAGAAAATACTGTAAGTATGGAAAAACAGAAAGGTTATTTTGAAGCTATGGAAGCACAATCAAAACAACCAATAAAATATATGACGTTTAATAAAGTCAAGCGGCTGTAGATGGGGCGATTATTAGAGAGAGACGTTTATGTCATTCCATCATCTTAGAAAGTTTTGTTTCATTCTGAGCCAAATCGAAAAATAACTATAATAATGATATTATCATAATGGTAGGGGGCACAAAGAAAGACAAGACAGAGCATTAGAGTATTTATGATTTATTAGACAGTGGTCAGTGGTGTAATTAAAATACACTTTGCGAGGGGGGACGTTTATTAGATATTAGGTGTTTCTTTGATATATGACATGGGAACGAATTTTGGTAATTTTTTATTGATTTTGCTAATTTTTGGAGCTTGGCTTGGTAATTTACTTTCAGAAAGTCTGGTCACACTGGCTATGACTTTTCGCCGGGATGATTTGCTTGCCTACAGTGTCGAATGAATAGTGTAAATAAAATAATGGCGGCAATATAAACCTTAATAATTTTTGGCTGATAACGCTATAGCTAAACAGGAGCAAAGAAAAAATACATATCAAATTTGAAATTTACTCACAGATGTGATGCACTTTAGAAGATTCGCCTTTTCAATGTTGTAGCTATCAATGGTGTATTGCTGTTAAAGAAAACTTTGTATGTTTTGTTTTTTAGGTTAAATATTCTTCATTCACTGTTTGAAGATATGGTCAATTGCCCTAGAGTTTTGATTTCGGCCCAAGTATCGTGGCTTTTGCTCAGGTATTATCTTATTTCTTTGTCACTGCACCATTAGTTGTAACTGGAATAACAAAAAAATCCCGAAGTGTTTTCATGACGAGAATAAGTTGGCTAAACCGCCATTTTGTTATTCAATTTTTGTTGTATAATATTGAGCGGCTTTAAATGTGTGGTTGAACTTTAATACATGGTTAACATTGTTTTAATGTTATTAGTGCAAAGTTTCCATGGAAATAAGTCATATGCATATGGTGTAAACTTTCTAAATCTACTGCAACACTAATATTTTGTTTCATAGTTATTTATCAACGTATAACCACCGCTTTAAAGATTATCAAGAAAAAAATTCACATTCACATTAAGTAACATTAACCAAGATATTTATTTTGTTGGTTGCAACATAAACAAGCTGTTTTTTCAGTTCCTTAAAACCAAATCAACGCGTTATATTAAACATCTCACCCTCCGTAACTCTGTTTTACCCCCAGCAGCTTTACTTTTCGAAAGAAATTGTCAAAACGCGCATGCGCTATTCTTGTGAGTAGTGTGTGGTGTGGAAGGTTAGCATAGCAATCGTATGAAATAGCGATGAAAATATATGCATGTGAGATTGATTTACATAAAGCATTCAAAAATTAGAAATATTCACCTTTCATGCACGTTGGCTCTGCATGTAGTTACACTATCTAAAGATTTTGTTAAACGCAATTTGGAATCATGTCAAGAATATTGACATTGTTGTACTTGCCATTGTTCGAGTGTTCATAACTACTAGGAACAAAATTTGTAGACAGTCAAGCACTATGTACGCTTAAAAATTCAAACTCGTGTTATAAACGAAGAGATTTTTGTGAATTTTTGTTCTTATATAATAACACACTGCCTGCGATCGCTTTTATTGGTAAATGACATGACATTGGACTGTTTGCAGTAAAAATTGTACCATTATCAGAGAGTGAACAATTTACGTTGAGCAAAAATTCAAAGGAATGTTACGATGGACTTTGCGAAAGTATACTCATTTGCAAATAATTGTTTGAAATATGTACAAACAAGCAATTCAAAGCCATGCGTAACTTGCGATTTTTATTCAATGTGTTTCAATAAAAGCCAAAGTTTCGCAAACATTCAACAAACATTATTTTGTGTGAAGAAACAAATAAACACTTTGCGATTAAGCCAAACAATGAACAATCAAATATATTTACGAACAGTATCTGTAAAAGCATCTGTAACCAATGTTTCAAGTGCATACAGTACAGTACGCACATGGAAATGATGAAATAAAACTCAATGTTATACTTATGTCTGTTACATTGCATTAGCAACATAAATGTTTGTATTTTTAATACTTATTTATTTTGAAAATGGAAGCGATATTGCGAATACGAATATAATGATAATGCAAACTACAACAACAGAAATGAATTAATACTTTATGTATACATCACAACACAATATATGTCATTGCCTGTTTCCTACACATTTTACAATGAATCACAAGCAAATGAAAAGCACAATGTGTATTCTTGAAAAATATTGCTTATTGCCATTGGCATCAGCCACCACCACCCCACCCTCACTCCCAAAAAACAAATATGTGTAGCCAAGAATTGTCAGTCATCTACGGTGTAACTAATTAAGGAACGATCAACTTTAAGTGCGCTCCTTTAGATTAATATCCACACTTAAGTCATACTTAAAACCTAAAAGTTAACGCCAGCGCCACAAAAGGAAAACTTTCAACCATGTGTATTTACTGCGGACAGTAGTAAACTTCTAATATGAAATAGATTATTCAGTTGAGAACTGAATTTTGTCAAACAAATGAAGTCGAAAACAATGTGGCATCATACCCAAGAATGTCGAAAATTGTCAAATATTTTAAACAAACAAAAATTTCTATTGCAGCTCCTAAAAAATTCTGTTACAAAGGATTGAACCACAAGTAGACTGCTCAGTCTAAAGCACTTTTTAAATGAATTCAGTAAAAACACTTCTGAGCATTGATTTTAGTTTTCAGTCTTTGAAACGCCATGGCTAGGTATAAGGAATCGTTACGCTTTTATTTGAAATGTTGATCTACATTTTCATTTTGAAACTTTGCACTATCATTGGATCCCTCGTTTTCATCTTTTTCAAACACAGCATGGTCTGTGGTCGGCAATATTTATCTGATATTTCAGAATGAGCTACTGGGTAATGTGCTGTGGATGTACCTTTGACTTGTCTTTAAAGTCATTCACAAGATGCATTAAAGTGCCGATATAATGTTTTTGCCTATGTGCCATTTATATAGTTTAGGCTGCTTTAAAAACTTTTGTGATGTATTTTATAGTTCGAAAGAATGATTTTATAGTTCGAAAGAATGACTTTTTGGCACTTAAAGTTGAAAAATTGACCATTTTCATCGTTTGATCGCCATTTTGAAAAGCTGTCTAATGTAATTTTGACGTCACAACGGGAATTCATTTGTTGTATTTTGTTTAAAATTGGATGTTTTTAAGCATCCACGACACAAGATGCCTCGCGTGTGTTATGCGAAATAATAGCTTTGCTTTTGAGAAAATTATGTATAACATACATACAGTGTTGTCTTAAAGCGTGTTCCCGATATGACGTATGATCTCGGCTCTCGTCTAGTTTTTGTGGGTAGCCGCTGTGCATGCGCGCTGCGCTCTAATAAATACCACACGTGTGGTGAGAAAAATTAAATTGACACCGCTGCATTTGTTCAAACCACTGGTTCGAACACATAATGTTTTCCTCGTTAGGGGGAACACTGCTTTGTAAACGACATCTAAGACACGTCAGAAAACGTTTTTAAAACACAACTATAGACAAAAATGGTTTTAAGTGAAAAAAAACCTTTAAAAGTCGCAATTTGACGATCTCCATGAAAAATCCACTTTTCCTCCAATTTGTTCATTCAATGACATTTACAACATAGCAGAAATAAACAATTTCCTTCGAGATACATGCTTTCACTCAAAAGTATAAAGAAACTAGACCAGAGTGCATGAGGCTCAAGTTTCAAAATCTGATAAAGACATCTGATCACATCTGATAGAGACACCTGACTAAATTATTTTTGATGTATTTTGATAAAAAGACTTTAAGAGACGTAATGTGTAGATAAGATTTTCTATCTTTGAAATGATATGTATATTGTATTGGTCAATGGTAGCCCAACGTGTAACAGTAACCGTTGATATTGTAAAGTTATTAAAAGACAATCTCGTACCTAGGCCCTTCCGTGCACACCTTGCCTCTTCCGACGCTTTCTCTAAAGGAAGTACCCACTCAACCATGTCAGGCCTGGGGACAAGGCCATTAACAACATTTATATGCATGGTTGCTTTTTTGGCTGAAAAAATTAGACCGCATCTTTAGTTATTGTGATTTTTTCATAATCCAGGGTGTATTTTCAAGAAGTTCTTCGAAATAAAGACATCGAAGAGACAAAACTTTTCCCCATATTATTGGAGCGTGTTGTGTCCATAATCGATATCAAAGAATATAAAAACAATATCCTAAGGTATAGAAATGTGTGGGAATGTTGGGGGTCGTGGAGTGATATGACTGTGGGTCCGGGCTCCTTGTGAATTTTTATGGTTCCTTGTGGGTGTACCTTATCCATAGATTGTTTTCACCAAATAAAGTGCGGTAAAACATTTGGTGAAGTGGTTGTACCAGTTTTGTAGAAACTGATAATTCAGTGTTACCCCGTGCTCTAAGCAGGACGTAGATATAACATTTATTAGAATTAATTAGAATTAAATGGGGATGGGTGAATATTTTTATATTCAGTTGTTTCTGACTGTTTCCCCCTGATTAACTTTCTAACTATATCCCTGGTCTTAGCAGGCACTGTATTCGCTTACTGGAGTCCAAATCAAAATACTCATAATATACTCCCCACTGTTCTGAATTTTTTCATCCGAAAGTTAAAATATTCAAGTTCTGTCTTGATAATATTTCAATATTTATGTGATTGCAGCCTTTTTGCTTCCCAACTTCGATCTATGTTCAAACTACATCCTGACCTGTTGTTCGAGTATTCAGGCGATATCATTGAGTTTGTTCAGGAAATGAAGACGTTGGATACAACTTCCAAGCAGTTCTTTACCAATCTGGTGAGCTTTCGAATATATTTATGTAAATAAATGTCTATTTTGGCAGGGCGAGAATGAGCTTTCAAAAGGAAGAACAAGCACTCCTGAAAGGAGAGGAGGGATTGGGGCAAACACTCATGAAAATGAACGCAAAATAATATGTGTGCCTTTCGAAACTGTTTCCATTCATCAAGGATTCTCATGGATATGTGAGAATTGTCATCCTAAGAATTTAGCAAATCTTTATGTTTTTACGTATAGAGTATGCATTATGTATTTATAGACTATAGTTGACCAATCTTTCCTAATTCTCAGTTGATTAGAAGAAGCAATTAAACCTTTTCTTTAACGTCATTGCTTAGGTGTGGATCATCGGAGAGTATGCTTCTAACAAATATGACGTCAGATATGACAATTCCTTTGTTGTCAAATTCCACGAGGTGATTGATTTTAAGAAAACTAAAATAATAACATATTTAAAGCACTTACAAATGACATCATGATAAGAGTACTTAAAATGACGTCATATTAAAAGTATTTAATATTGTTAACGTGAATTTAGTTGTAGATGGTAAGAACCTCGTTTCCCAAAAGCCAAACTCATAAAGTAGTAATTGAGTCAGCTAAAAAAACATATTACGTGTTTACTTGATAATTAAAGCATTGCTTACAATATTTTTTGAAACATGTTTAAGAATTATGGAGTTATTTTTTGCTCCAATTTTCATGACTTATCACTAGTTTGTCTTTTAAGATATTGTGAAATTAAATGATTGAATAACATGATATTCATCCCAGCTTAATCACCATCTCTGTAATTTTCTTACACAAAAAGTTTGTACGAATCATTTCTCTCGTAGTATATATACATAATACATATTGCCTGGAGTATTAGTCAAAATATGCTGAATCTGCTTCATTTTCTTGCAGTTAATCGAAAGTGTGACCTATGAACTAGCATCAACGAAGAATGTAGATGGCAAGGTATTCACTTTTTCTAGAAGCTCACCTTGAAAAATGTTTATTTGAAGTGTATGATTAAAAAATTCAACTGATAGGTTTTAGTTTGAAATCACTGTTGAGTTTCTATTGTTCAATTCTATATTTGTTTTTGATTAGAGTTAAATACGTATGTTTGCTGTCATTCATTGTAAAAGTTTACGTTTTCCCCTATAGAAAGCTTCAAAGTCTTTAACTCCTTTCCTGCATGATTGTGTCATGTCTACTGAGTTTATTGCGTTTCATGATTGCTTCTTTGCGACAACCTAATGTAGAAATGGGTCAGAATCTTAAACTTATATATTTGGAAGAACTAGTGCTAAAATTTCGATGACAGAATTCGTAGAAATAACATTTACATGTAAAGGCATTACTCAAAATTTAAATGATCTTCTGTCTGTTTTAGCTTCAACAAGACTATTGTAGCTCACGCTTGTTTTGTGTTTTAATGTTGACATTAGCGAAGGTAATGAACTATTTCCAAAGCATCTTTCATTTTGTGGAGTTGCAATATGTCATTGAAAGACATTTTAAAACATTGATAATGGAGCCATTCAAAATTTCCCTATTCATCTAGTTAACTCAGACCCAGAGGCGCCACCAGCGAGATACTTGGGGTGATATTCATATATGCCTGTTATTCCGCATTAAGTTCTTTTGAAATCAATTGTATTTCATCGTGTTATAACCATGATTATTCACCCCTAGTTATCTGGCATGCGACGCATCTGTTCTGGCCATTCATTTACCTTGCTTCAAACTATTAACCTAGTATCGCTTGTATCCACATAACCATGTTCCCAACTATCCATTTATGCAACTCTGATCATCTATAACCATTGTGGCAATTATCAACCTTGTGCTTGACCTTGGATTTACTTTTCTTCTTGAGCAATTATGTAATAAAATCCTAACATTATAATTTCAGCTTGCTTCCAGATGTCCTGATCTTATACCAAAAGTCATCCTTTGTCTTCGCAAAGTATCCAAACAAAGAGCTGTAAGAGCAAATTTCTCAACTATGGTCTGTTTTAGTATGCTCTTTTTCAGTCTTTGAAGGTTTATTCCTTTCTTATGATTAGGATGTTTGTGTTGAACAAGCCGAAAAAGCCACAGTTATGAATAAGGCAAGGGAACTGATCAGTTTACTAAGTATTCCAAGGTAGGCAAGTCGTTTTGGGAGATATACACATGGAACTTTTGTCAAAATATTTTTAATTTTTATTGAAATTTTCATTTAAGTGTTGCACAGTTGATCTTAAGTCCAGACCCGTCAATAAAAGAAGGAAGGTAAGAAAATTAAGAAAAAATTGGAGGCTGGTTGCCTGTACATTAAATCTTGTTTTTCATATTAGCAAACTTTTATTTCGGAAGGTGTAATACTTCCAGGGATGTAAAAGATCTATTATTGTGGAGCAGTCATACTCATACATGCACGATATTCAGAATTAAGTTCTATTGTTTTTTTCTAATCGTGACATGCATTTATGAATGTAAGTCCCCCCCCCCCCTTCCCCTCTTTCTAATTTATTGATCTTCCAATGGTCTTAACTTCAAAAACATTCATTTCATTTGTCTGTTGATTTATTCCATCCATTGCATGGTGTTTTTGTCATAGACTTCATCGTGATCGGCACACATCTTTGTCTTTCTTCATGAACTCATCAAGAGATATGATGTTTTAATAAGGTATGAAGCAGAATAACTTTTACAGTTGACCATCTCACGTTTCATTCATCATGAAATAATGAGTAAAACTAACGAGTGTCTGAAATTTTACTTATTTTGTTTTTATGTACTTAGATCACTCCTGTCGAGTCTGAAAAAGTTGCACAAAGTCAATAACTGGAACACTTACTGCAATTTTTGCTAGTTCACCTTTGTACCAAAATTAAGAAGATCATCCATCCACTGTCAGGTGTTGTGTGTTTCATAACAATTGAAAGGGAGACATTTGCATTTTATCATATTTATCAATTTATGGAATACACTCACCCTACCCCCTCTTGTCAGGTTCTTGTGATCAAGAACCTTATTTAAAATTTCGATTCAAGAATTTTTTATACGTGCTTCACGTTAAATTTCAATCAAAATGCAAAAATATTAACATCTTGGAAAATCTTGGCTATAGGTTAATCAGCCAAAAAATCATGTTACTGCTCTGAAAAGCGATGCTTTTGACAATACACCTGGTAATATAGCTTTAGCACATGAAACAGTTTTTGTTGCAAGTTCGGTTTGCACTGAAAACAGATAATTTCTGTCTTGATTTAGAAATAATCATTAAATTTTCGAAGAATGGAATGCTTCATAATTAAAAATAGCAAAAAAAGTAAATGTGTGGGGGACTTAGCTAGTATCATAGCTGCGGCATGTAAGTTGTAATCATGTTGTTTAAAGTGCTGGACATGATTAATTTATTTAAAAATTCATTGTTATCTCTGTTAGCTATTTTGCATTTTGTATGTGCCTTATCTCCCAATACCCCTTGATCCTTAAAACTTCTTTCTTAGTCACGGTTTGTTCTTGGAAAATTTCTCTTCATCTTCATAATTTTAAGGAGAAACTATCTGGAAACTATACCTAAATGGGCCAGAAAAAAATCAAGATAGAAAACACTAAAATAGACGAAGATGTATGATTCCAATATTTACACTATTATACAAACAAATACATTTGTTGCTGATAAATGTAAGATCATCTCGAGAAACTAACATTTTTTCTTTTATTGATGATTTCATTAAAATCGGCAGAGTGAGATGTATTTCTTACATGGGAAAGAACTGCAGATGGTGGTGGACATAAAGAGGAGATTAAGGAGTTCACGGGATTCGAACCCATGACCTCTGCGTTGAGTCACCTGAATTTTTCAGGTTCATGAGACAATTGCTTAAATTGTCCAGCAAAGTGCGAAGATCATATGTTCATTTAATTTCAAACACCGCACTGCATAAAACATTCTTTCATATGATCTAGAAGTTGTTAGAAAATTGCTCACCTTAAACAACTTCCCTTCATACATATTTGACAATCATGTTCACCGCTTCCTCAACAATACATTTGAACCCAAAGATCCTATTCACACTGCTCTTAGAAAATCATGTACTTCTGTCTCCCTTTCACTGGCCTGCACTGTCTTCAGATTCGCACTCAAATCACTCGACTCTGCAATGCTGCCTTTCCTCATATCAACGTTCGCTTTGTTCTTCGTTCTACCAGGCGTCTCTCCTCTTTCTTTCCTTTTAAAGATAGGGTTCCCAAGCTCCTGAGATCTGGTGTTGTATACTCATTTAAGTGTCGATGCTGCTCTGCATCGTATGTGGGTCAAACCACGCGTCATTTACACACCAGAATATCGGAACACTTGGAATCTCTCCCTTAACAGGGAAACCTTCCTTATGTCCACCACCATCTGCAGTTCTTTCCCGTATAAGAAATACATCATTCTCTGCCGATTTTAATGACTTCTCAATTCTCTTTTCCTCCTCCGACAATTATGACCTTATGATTCATGAAAGCCTTCTTATATCCAAACATAAACCCTCTCTTAACACCCAAGGCAACTCAATTCCCCTTCACCTTCTTTAATATACCGCCAGTCTCACTTAATTCCGTCATCTAAACTTCCTACTCCCCTCACATGTAATTTAACACCCTGTAATATACGCTTGTATTTAAAACCTCATGTATATAATTTATCCCAAATAATCTGAAGATGTCTTAAGTTAAAGACGAAACGTTATTAATAAATCTTTCTTTATTTTTCTATTGTGATGGCTTTTTTAAAAGTCTTATGTTGGGCTATTATGTTCATATTGAAAATGACTGAACTGTCGCTCGCGAGATCGTCTTTGCCAAGCACTTACAATTCATCCATAAATTTTTTACCCTCTTGAAAAAATTCACAGTTTGGACAGCAGCATTCATGTCAATATATGAATTTGTAAAAAATTTCCATAAATTCCATTTGATTGTAGTTTAGTTTCTATCACGCTTTAGAAAATTACTATGAAACGATCAAACATTCAATTCAGGCAGTGAGCTTGACTATGTTAATCCAGTTGGCTATCAGTCGAAATTGGTCAAACCAATCACAGTAAGACAAAAATTTAAACAAACCAATTACACGATGGCATCGGCCTCTCTTATCGGTCCGGTCACCCCGCTTATCGGTCGAGATTATTCCAGATCATCCACTGATCTGGCTATTGACCAATGGAATGGCTTAAATAAGGATTCTTGAACTCCGTTATCGGTCGAACCAGTCGACTCACCCCGCTTATCAGTCAGCCAGTTAATATAATTCTAGATATGTTTTTATCTACTGATCTGTTTACTAAGGTGGTATTTGTATAAGTTTTCTTACATAAAACAGAATTTTGGCGATGAAATCCAAACGATTACAGAACGAATATTTAATGATCAAAAGAAATTGTAATCATTAAATTTGACAAATAATTTTTGAACTATAAACACATGTCGCGTGACTGATTTGACATACCCTAGATCCACCCCTGGTTAAGCATGTACTTAAACCTTATTTGACCAGAAAGGTTAATTCATTTCAGGCTGGTCAAATTAAACTATGCCACAATAAATGGGCAAATCTTACTACAGACCCCGATAATCTTGACATGGTTTTAGGGCAAAAATTTCTTTAACCAGTCAGGAGGTCTTAAACCAGTTCAGCACCAGTCTAATCCTAACCCTCTTCCTAAACAAGGAAGAAGCGACATCGATGAAGCTATTCAGGCATTGAGAGATAAAGGAGTAATTATTCCTAGTAAATTTGATTCTACTGAATTTGTATCACCTATCTTTACCACTCCTAAAAAGGATGGTGGTGTTCGCCTGATTTTTAATTTAAAAAAACTAAATGAATCGGTCGAAAACTATCATTTTAAGATGGAAAATATCCATACTGTACTTAAACTTATCACAAAAGATTGCTAGATGGCCTCTCTAGATTTAAAAGATGGCTATTATACCGTACCTGTCCATCCAGAATCTCAAAAGTTCTTAAAATTCCTTTACAAGGGGAAATTTTACCCGACTACTTAAACCAGTTCTGGCCACATTACGTGTAAAAGGTAACATTGCCATTATATACATCGATTATTTACTCTTGGTAGGCTGGTCCTATGAAAAGTGCCTTGACCACGATAATAGAAACCTTAATTTTATTAGAGAAACTCAGTTTTGTCATTCAACCATTGAAATCTGAATTTGGTCCACTACAAGATATAACTTTTCTTGGTTTTTCAATAAATTCACGAACCATGACAATTCAACTTACCAATGGTAAAAAAGAAAAATTGCTCTCCCTTATTAAAGCAATTCTAACGCCCGCTAAAGTTCGGATTAGAGAAGTGGCTCAGGTAATTGGACCAAATCTGGGAATTTTGCGTGATGCACAATATCAAAATATCTGCCGCACATTTACCAGGGTCAAAAAATGTAATTGCGGATAAAGAGTAAAGAAAGTTGTACCGTGAAGGTGAATGGAGGTTAAATCCCGCTGGCATCAAGATTACTATGAGCAAGTTTAATTTCCAGCCTGAAATTAACTTATTCCCTTCACGACTAAACAAACAGTTTAATCAATACTGCTCTTATCGACCAGACCCTGAGGCAACATATATTGATGTGTTCTCCATCCCGTGGAACAACTTAAAGTCTTATTGTTTCCCTCCTTTCAACTGCATCTAATAAACTGTTCAAAAAAATTCTACAAGAAAAAGCCACAGGTATTTTGGTGATACCAAATTGGCCAACACAACCTTGGTATCCTTTAATTGAACCAATACTCTTACAACCTCCTCATGTTTGTCTACCGTCGCAAAACCTGCTCAAACTACCAGCTGCACCAACAGAAGTGCATCCACCAGTAAAAAAGCCAGAGTTGAAAATATGTCTTGTGTCAGGCAACAACTTACGTCAATAAGTGTCTCTCCAAGCTCAGCACAGATAATCATGGCCTCTTGGAGAAAGGGAACAAAATCTCAATACCAAACTTATATAACTAAATGGAGTCAATTTTGTGTTGCTACAAAATGTGAATTTTTTGATCCCTCCATTACCACAATCATTCAATTTTTAACTAACCTTTTTCATTCAGGTCTATCTTACTCTGCTATAAATTCTGCTATTATCTTGTAAGAGTAACCAAGATCTTTATTCATAATTGTACTAATGGATGACCTGCTAGGTATGTTTGCTGGAAGGCAAACTTTGTTAGTTTCTAGGTGTTGCTGAATCTTTTTTGCGTAAATAGATGGTTTATTAATTTTTAGATATTCAGTGTATCCAATAACGTCATCTGTACGCGTGGTTCGAACATCACGTTTGCTCTGGCGAGGTGCAATAGAACCAGTGTCTACCCATAGATCTATTATATATAATAAGTCTAATTCCTCGAGAGACAGAACGGCCGGACGTTATGGAGAAGTTAGAAGCTTACGTAGCAAATATTTCATTGATTGATTGCAACCGTATGCATTTCTTTGATGAGTCGTCTGTAGTTGTTACGAGTGGCAACAGACGTCGAGGGCACAGTATGCAGGGTACTCCTGCATTTAAAATCCAACGATACTCTTCTAGGGCCACATTTATTGTAAATTTATTACATAATGTAAACGGCGTATCGCATTATAACACTCTTAGAGGGCGGTCAAACGGATTAGAAATGCTAAAGCTTTTCCTTGCTTACTGAACGGATTCATTGCCAAATGTCTACAGGGTACAAAGACCTTTCGTGTTTGCTAGTACTTCGCAACTTTAGTTCACAACTTCAGTACTCAAGTACACAACTTCAGTACTCAAGTACACAACTTGTCAACTCAAGTTGACAAGTTCATATCGAATATTCCATATTTGGAAATGTAACTGGCAACATTAGAAAGTAACTTGGCAACCGCCATTGGAAAAGTTAACTGAAATCGACAAGAACACTCTACTATTTGGTTTTTTTATTCCCATTCAGCAAAAAACAGTATTATGTTAGAGAACCAAATGCACTTTAAATTCATAAGTTGTAACTTCCTAAAAAAATGTAGTTCACAGCAGTAGCTTAAGAGTTATGCTGAATAGTTTCGTAGCAGCTCACCAAGATTTAACTAGCAGTTGACAGGCCAAGATATTTTCGCACATTTTCCCTAAGATTTGATAAAGATAATTGTACTAGGCCTGTTCACGAACAAATACATAGTGTGAGAGTGTTTATTTTTACTTTGAAGACATTCACGGTCCCACAAAAAAATGACGCGTCTGGAGTTATTTTGAATTTAACTTGTTATTTAAATATAACAGAAGTTTCTTTACCGTAGATTCTTTTATATTCTTGATTGTGTATTCGATAAAACGCTAAAGCATATTTTTCAATCTAAAACGTTATTCTTAGTACAAAATTTGTCTTATTCTAACCAACCCCTTTTTAGTAAAGAAAAACTATGCTCAAGATGCAAAAACATGTATTATGTACTAGTTCTAGGATGTTTTTGTAATTAATAAGAGAGTTTTGCTAAATATGTACAAAATTTGTCTTATTTCAACCAACTCCGTTTTAGGGAAGAAAAACTGAGTTTAAGATGCAAGAACACGTATTATGTACTATTTCTACCATGTTTTTTCGATTAAAACAAGTGCTGGTTAAATAAGTACAAAATTTGTCTTACTTTGACCAACCCGATTTAATGAAGAATAACTGAGTTTAAAATGCAAAATCATGTACCACATCGCATTTGTTTGTTGTTTTTTTTTGTATTTAAAATAAGAATTAGTTATATATGTACAAAATTTATCTTATTTTAACCAAATATTGAATATTGTCAATGTTCCCAGAAGAAAAAAAGGATGACCTAGATATTTTTTGCACATATTGTCTCTTTCTTACAGTTGTCATGCAATGAACAACTTTTACAGTAATGATTAGTAGTTTCATTAAACATGTATAATTATTTATTAGTAACCAGCCAAGAGTTTCCTTTTCTATTTTAAGAAAGCTACAAAGAGAAACAGCTGCAACCTAAAGCATTGAGATGTTGGTCAACACTTGGTGAAGTTTGAAAAAGATCACCACCATGAGGTAACCATAAACATTTGATAACCCAAGCTATGTTTACTTTACTTTGTTTATGTCTGCACGAAACTTTATATGGAATTTCCACAAAGAAACTTGTCTGTCACTAGAGAGTTTGCATAAGAATTGATAAGACTCATCATCTTTTCCAAGTGTTCTCTGCACATGAATATCATGTTCAGCTGCAGGTTAAGCACTTTAAACCAATTTGATCAGTAATAACTTGCAACTTAGAAGTATTTGCCACAAACATAAGAGCATACAACATTACTATTTTGCTTGTGTGTGTATGTATGTGTGTGTGTGGGGGGGGGGAGGGAAGTCATAGAGTACATCTGTCTTCTATGAAAAAAGTTTAATTAACTTAAAGTGGGTTGGCTGGTGAAGTCAGAAAATTTGATTTAGAATCCAATGTACTAACCAATGTGCAACAGAGCTATGCTTGTAAGAAAATAATGGTCAAGTTTTAAAAACCCCTAATCTTGCTGAATAATCAATTTCATTACCAGCACAGATGTATTATTACATTAACTACTTAAACTATGCACAATATCCTTTATCAAAACTGAGATAATCACTTTTTTAAAACTGCAACAGGGTGAAAGCAAAAATTTGAAATAGACAAGAGTCACAAGATTTAACATGTTTTAGTACAACAATCAAAGTGCTTTAGAAGAACATCCTTTTCAACCAGCCATTATAAATAAATTTCTAGCAAATCGGGATCATAGAAATAGATATATCGGTGTGTAAATGATACCAACATTATTTTATAGATGACGTGACTTGATTACGTTTTCTAGGAGGGAGGTTTGATCGAGTGCTTTTATACAATACTGGAAAAAATGGTTAACCTCCCTTGTGGTATATCTCTCTGCCATCAAATTGTAAACAAGCTTAGTCTGAGTATTAAAGTCATCTATAAGCTCAGCTCAATCAGCTAACGAGTCACCCGCAACTGCTTGCTTTTTCTTTGTCTTCTATACGAGAATACCTGTCTTTTCCATGCTTCAATTTTGACAATTGTTTTGAAATCATATTGCACTTCAAACTGTATTCCAATTTCTTTTTTGTGTGTGTGTTTTTCCATAGTTTTCCCTGTTGTTATTTTATTCGCCATGCTGATGAGATTTATTGTATGGCATGGTGGCCAGGCCTTGCCAGGCCAGCTAAACGTAGTCCCCACCAGTCCCTACGCTTTGGTTTTTCTTGTTGGTAAGTGTACAAATCTTGTCTGAAATAATACCTCTGTCTTAAGCCACTGCTATAGCAATGGCTATAGCAATCAATGACTATAGATAATATTATGATGCCATCTCTAGAACTAGTATTATTTTAATAGGAGCATTGAACACGTTGTTCATCAATGATGTCGGAGCAAGAATTTTCTGATAAAGTGACGAAGGTTGTGAACTGTATTGCTGATGGTCAAAGAAACTCCGAGTGTGGGAATCTTTTACGAGAAATTTACCTCGATATTTTCACTTCTGCAGAAAGAAAAAGGTTTCGCTTTAAAATTTTATCTGGCCATACAATTTTTATCTAGCATAGCAGTCTTGAATTGCGTAAACTGCTCACCTGAGCTTCGAAATGTACGCGAATATAGGTGCCTACATTTAAAAATTGCATCTCCGAGATCTTGGGTGTGCAATGCAAACTTTCCACTAAGGCTAATACTGTACATTTCTTCCATAACTCTGGTGGTTTGTTTTTCAGTTTTTCCAATGAACTTTTGAAACAACTGAAGAGTTTGATTGTTGAACCTGGAGACAGTCCTAAAGCACTCAGGCTCCTTGCTGTCTCCATATTGCGAGAGCTTTCACCTACAGTTGCATACAATGTAAGAGTATCAAATCTGAGTGCAGACCCAAACTGGTTGCCATTAGTGTTTCCATTGATTCTTACCCAGGTATGTTGACAAGAATCTGTGATAATGTAGATGTAGGGAAAGTCAGATAGAATTAAGAAGGACGGGTGGTCGGAAGCAAGGGAAGCTGGGCTAAGGCTGCCTTAATCTTCTTGAAAGAGGGGCAATGCTCGTTCACTTTATAAAGTGTTTTCTACATGTACGAATGCTTGTACAAAAACTTTACAAGTTGAGAATTGGACACATAAAGTAAATGATACTGTCTCAATTATGTAGAAAGTTAAATATAGGCAAGTTGTCTTGAAATCATTTTTTGTTTCAGTGGAAATGTTAGCAACAAATAATGTAGCCAATGTAGTAAACTTATGTAAATTTCTACTTGTTTGTTGTTGCTGTTTGCTCTATTGAACTTTTTTACAGCATATAAGAAGTGTCTTGTGTGACATTTTCCAATGTTTATACTTTGAATTTTTGATTGTATCTAATGCATAAAATATGCAGAAAATATAATGTACTTCAACATTGGTACACATAATTACTGGGATGCCTCCCCACTTTCATTTTTTTATAAACCCCCAGGAGAAGAATGTTCAGTTGAATCATCTTTAAAAGATCTTATGAGGAACTGCACAACATTAATAATTGAGGGAACTCATAATCTTATATCCATTTGATACAGTTAATAGTCACAATTGAGTTTCAACAGTTATGAATAAAGTAGAACATGCATATATGAATATCAGCCATCTGAATTATTGATCTTCCTCAGTCCTTTGTCTCTTGGCATACTATAGAATTTTCTTTGAAATAAAAGCTGTGTAGGATTTTAGATAAGATAGTTAAAGTACATAAATGTTGTTGGGTTCTTTACAATTACATTGGAAATCATTCTTTCTGTTGTTTAGGGTCAAGAGTTAGGTTACATTGAAGAGCACATACCAATGTTTCTAAAGTAAGCTTTTTTAAGTATTTTTTACTGCTTTCTTGCTAGTTTTTCATTTCCAGTCATAAAATACTTGGTTGTTATATTAAAATTCTTGAATATTTGACACTGGGTTGATTTTGATTTATTATTTGTATCAGATGGCTTAAAAGCTCACCAAATCCTTCCTTTCAAAGAAGTGCATTTTTGTGCTTAATGTCAATTCACAATCATTATGGAATGGATCTTTTTTCAGAAGGTGTGAAAATATTTCTATAAAATCATGAAATATTGTGAGAGTTGGAAAGGTCTATTTACTTCATAGTTTGCGGGGCCATATGTAAAATTGTTAATTGGGGAGAGAGGGGAGGATGTTCATGTATTAAGATATATGCCCCAATAGTTTCTTTTTAATGTGAAAAGGAAAATCAATGAATATTCATTCCACAATTAACATTCTAGCTATGGCTCTGTGTGGTTGAACCTCCCCAAAATCTCTTTGATTTCTTTTGAAAAATGTCTAATTCTGTAGCAGTTTAACTCTTACAATCACAAGGATGAATACTGCATGCTATTTTACACTTTACCAGTTTAATAAAGTTAAATCCATTTGAAGCTTCCAAGTTCAATTATGTACATGTATGAATGAATGTATAGTTCATACAGTTTCTATGTACTAACATTTTAATTTAGTTAATATAATACTCCCTTGTGAATGAATTACAGTACTGAAGCAGCAAAATAACCAAATTGTAAATTCCCCCCATAAACATTGATAAAGTATAATCATGTAAAGTCAGCAATTTTTTCAAACGATTACAGTGACATGAACACTATATATGAATTTATTTTCATTTGAAATATTGTTTTCTGAAAGTTACCCTGGGCTAAAGGTCACTGGGGGTTAACATAACCAATAAAATTAGTGTGCTTAGCAAAAGCACTCTGTAATTGATGAGCTTAAAATCAGGCTCCGATGTGTTTAATTTTACGAGTTCCCAAAGGGGGTAGCATGAAGCGTTTTTCTCTTTTTAAGTTAAACAAGGGCTCCCAAATTTGAGAGAGATCAGAAAACTGTCACATTCATTCTTATTTTGACCTGTAACATACATTGGTATTGTTTTTCTTTAAAGTTTGAACATTTACCTCCCTTATTACCAGCCTTGCTGTAGAAAATTATGAAAATCATGTCGCCATATGGTCCTGAGACCTGGCAGAAAATTTTATCCTTGGTTTTACAAATTCTGTTGACGGATTTGCTTATAACCATAAAGCTGTTTCTTACTTTCAATAGTCCGCATCAAATGAGCAACCTCTTGGATATGGTAGACTCCTTCCTAATGTTCAAATTTTTTTAATTAGAGCATGTTACCAATGTCAACAAACTGATGATTCAATGGCTTTCCAATGCAAGTCGTGTGTCGGCACCAAACCCCTATCAACGCGCAATATTCAATTCAAAAACAATGGTATGATAACTGACGTAAACATATAAGTAGTTTAACTTTGAAACTCCTTTTTATGATTGAGGCTCTCAATTTAACTTTGAAACTTACAGTTTAACCTTGAGACACGCAATTTACGTAACCTTGAAACTTGCAGTTTAACCTTAGACCTTGGTGTTTAATAATCCTTAAACTTGTAGTGTATCCTCGATAATACTCGAAATTTACCCTTAAAAATGGTTTTAAACTTATAGCTTCAACCTGTGACAGAAGTAGATGGAAAGAACTGCGAATCGTTTTTTACTGTTTTAAACATTGCCCATTATTGCACTATGGATCAATGGTTGAACATCGCTATATTCTCTTCAGTACGCTGGTGGCTGTTAACCACATGGTCCTACCAAAACGGCTTTTGTGGGATCAGCACTAACATACCTTGTGATTTAAGTAGTATGAGAAGTGAATCGCCTATACCCTTTGCACAAGCATCTTTTGTAGAACCAATATTTTTTGACGAGCGCAACTTACGAACCCAGGACGCAAATGACACGGACGAAGATTTGTTGTCATCGCCGTTGCCTAGCAACGATAGCTACCTTGTAAACAGTCCTAACTTTAGTGAGATTGGCCAAGCGTTTGACTGGAATGCTGCTAGCACGCCAATTAAAGATACTGATGAAAACAGGAGTGTGAGCAGTTGCAGCAATTTGTCGGGCATGCGCAGGACTTTTGGAAGCGAGTCTAGTTTTTTTTCGGAGTCCTCTCAAGATGGTAGTCTGGTAGAAAAGACTATTGCGTATTGCTATAGGCTACTTCAACAGACTGAGCATAGTAAGTATGATGTAGTACTGTACATCACACTGATTGTATTTCATTGAAAAAAAATTTTCAAAACAGTTCTTGCGCAACTCTATCCTCTAAATATAAAGATTTTTTGAAATATCCTTTGGTGTTTGGCAAGGTTTTCATGAAATGGTTGGGCAGGATTTTAACCAAGAAAAGGCAACTCTACCCACCGAAGTAATATATCACTAATGTACCTGATTATGCATTTTTGCACAACTCTTTATTCTCAGAATATAAAGGATTTTTGAAATGTCCTTTGGTGTCCGGCAAGGTTTTGATGAAATGTTTCAGCAGCATTTTTAATGTACCTGACAATTCAAGTTTAATTATGCAGTGCTACGTCACTGGTTGAGTAAATAGGACGTTTATGATGATTTAAAATTTCAAAAGTTTTTTACAATGAGAATAAAATTACCATAATTTCGTAAAAGCACTATCGCTAATGCGCATTTAATGTATACCACAAATTAAACTGAAGATAGACATGTTTAGACATCTGATGATGCCATCTTCAGTGTGAGTGAGTATTACATAAATAATACAAAGTTTATATAAAAGTAATATGATACAGTAACATAAGTATATAAATATGAATAAATTATAACAATAATTTATTTAGTTTGTAACACGCTCCCCATTTATTTGTCTCATTTCCTTATTATTGTTATAATTTATTCATATTTATATATTTATGTTACTGTATCATATTACTTTTATAAACTTTGTATTATTTATGTAATTACTCACTCATACTGAACATGTCTAATTTCAGTCTAATTTGTGGTCTACATTAAATGAGAATGAAATTAATATAAAATTAATTTATTTAAATATATATATTTTATAGACACAACGACATTACATGATGTTTCGTTACAAAAAGCGGTAAGAGACTGGGTTTGAATAAGAATTTATACATCTGTAAATAGGCTATGTTGCCATCAATACCTTATGCTTACCCTTCATTGTATTTTCTTTACATTACACACTCAATCATGGTGTTTCCCCTCAATTATCGTGTCTCCTCTCTAACACCGCACCATATGTTCCCTCCACAATATTATGTTATCTCTTCATGATAACGTTTGCTTTCCATAATGGTATTTCCCCTTATTAACCATGTCTCCTCCGTTTAACATCTAACATCTCCCTCATCCATCGTCATATTCCCTATCTCCTCATCATGTACCTATCCATCATCATGACCCCCTGCTTCATCATGTGAAATAGGAGCATTGTAATTTATTATGTGTTGTGAACACATCCATTTCACTGTAAAGATCTCCACTTTACTCCTTTATTTACCCACCAACCTCGTCTTGACATCTTGCCAAACATTGCTTTTATATGCTTGTCGAACAGAGGCGCCAGCGAGGGAGGGGGCAACTGCCCACCAATATTTCTCATATTAAGGTCTTTATATATATACTTATGTCAGTCATATAAAACAGTGCCTAATGTAGATAAGTGTGACTTTGATGGTGTTTTGCCCTCCCCCTTTCCCAAATTAGGTATCTGCCGGCGCCACTGCTGTCGAACGTTCTTCCTATAACTAACTGTTTTTCTTGTGCTTTATAACGATCTGCAATATATTGGTTCTATGCTATATCTACGACACCTTACTTGCATAGTTTTGTGTTCCTTTTGTTATATGTTTCACAAACATCAAGTTTGACCACAAGCTATCTATAGGTAGTTGCTTTTTGTAATGATGGTGAATTTTAAATGAAATCTTAGTTTCAAATGAAAAATAACTTGCAGTTGGGAGGATTTTCGTTTGAAAAATGGTTCCATGATCAGAAATAGCTAATGGTTAATTAAAAGCGTTCCTTTTGTAGTGCGTTATTGAAGCCGTGAGTCTGTTGGATTTCTTTTGTGAGAAAGAGGCAGACTTAATTCCCAGAGCCATACAAGCCGTTCGCAAGGTTTACAATCATGTAAAGAAATTGTCAGAATGGGTCGAAGTTTTGCTGCCCATTCTCTTGTTTTATATCAAATACGGTAAGAAAAACCTCTGGGACAAAGTTTTTTAGAGTAGGGCTGGACGGGGGTGGGAATACTGGTTTAGTTACAGGATAAAACTGTCCAATGCTATTCTTTTACACAATTGCAGATCCCTACGTTCCCTAATCACTGACATAAAATCTTTACAATTTACTCCATGTTTTCAGACCGCTTCAATTTCAAAGCAGAAAATATGAGCTAAAAGCATTTTGGAAACATTGATCTGTTTACTGTTTAGATGGATCTCGTTATTGTTGTTTTTGTATTGCGTAGTTTATTAATTGTTCATGCTATTAATAAATTTTTGAAATTAAATGCCCCCAGTTAACTTAAGAAAGTTTTAAGAAAGCAAACGATCAAAGCACCATCTTTTGCATTTATTTACTATCCGAAATTTGTCAATATCCATGATATGATCCGTGTGCACGGTGGTTGGAGTACTTTGTTACTTACTTTATTTACAACGGATTTTATGGTTTTTGTTTTGTTTGTAGGCGAAGCTGTTATTCTTGATGCCGAACCTTACATTCGCCATTTCTTTGAAGACATTTTATACAACAGCTTTACCAGGTGAAATCATTTGAAGGAAACTTCTATTAGACCCAATTATATCCCTATAGAACCAACCTTTTCCCTTTTGAACACCTGAAGATGATTCCTACTTTACTTTTGTTAGTGCATTTTTCTTTTCGTCAACTTTTGTTTTCATGTTAGCCCCGAGCTTGCATTTGAAATCGTCGACTTTTGCATTGAAAACAAAGAAGAATTGCGACAGTCGACCAACATTTTCTCAAAATACTTCCCCAATATATTCAAGGTAAAAGTCTTGTCTTACGAAATACATTTTTCTAACGAGTCTTGTCATGAAGAGCTTTTTGTGCCTATGTACTTACAATGTTGGTTTGTTCAAAACCTATACAACATTGTAGAACTTATAGCTCTACAGATATTTCTATAAGGAAATGGTGATATCAGCCCGATTAAGTAGCACTGCTAGGCAAATTTATCTGTGTTCAACCCCTGCATGAAAACACTAGATTTCTAAAGGAATGAATAATGAAAATGATCTGAAATTTACTCATTAGGGCCAAAACATGCGCACTGGTTTCGCTACGGCAATAAGATTTGTGAATTTGATAATTTTTTTATCAACCCGACTAATATTTTACTTTGGAGATTGGTATTCTCTAGCAAATCACGAGAAAAGTACGTAATGCACTTATGACATGAAACTGATTAACGGATTCCATAAAGTGTTAACCCATTGATGGATGTGCACCCTCTCTGACCTTGGCTTGAAGGGGTGCAAATTTCCCTACGAGATATTAATACACCTATCAATTTAGGTAGAACATTTGTCAAACTACACAATTCTTATAGTCTCAAGTCAAACCCAGAAAAAGTCTGACATGTGAATAACATAACGACACCCACAAAGGTGCCACCGAAATCTCATCCAAACTTGACTAACAATACGACATGTTATAAAAACTACAGCGTTTCTCCCCTCCCCCTAAAATATCATCCTAGATCCATCCCTGTGTTAACATCACTCTCCCTAAACGTTTATGTTTGTTCTCTTATGTTAAGTTTTCGTGAAAGTTAAGAACATTTTACCTTCATTTCACCTTTTTGCAACAATTTTTGAGAACAATTTTTTCATGAAACTTTTATTAACCTCGTACTTTTCTGCAGTTGATAGTCTAAGCTCTACAACCTATTTATGATTATTTTACTCTTTCTATTATAAAAAAGTAATCCGCCTCAGTGCAAAATTCAGCACGACGATCTTAATGCTAATTTCCTTTTTTGTGAAGATTATTGCTTGGTTTCCAAGAACGTTTCTCAAAGAATTCATGGAATTATTGCCGATGATGATCAATGAAAATAATTATGTTGAAGTGAGTATTTTTACTCAGTTATCTAAAATTAAGCATTTGACAATTTAACTCAAACATCACATCACTTCTGATGAAGACATTAACTAAATTGTATATGTGGGCGTAAGTTTCAAAATCAGATCACTCCTCATAAAGACGCCAAACTACAGTTTTAATAACTCAAGTTTCAACCCCCGATCGCTACTATAATGAATCTAGATTAAATATCCTGATGTAGAAGGCAGACTGTATTTGTGAATACAAACTAGCATCGGTCACCTCCGTAAATTTACTATTATTCTTAATTTCCATTGTAATTTCTTCTAAGATCTTCCATCTTCTCCTTGATCTGCCTTGCCTTTCTGCTGCACTGGAGGCCGTACATGAATCGAAGAGACGTAAGTTTGAACTAAGTATTTTGTGTCAAGCATTGCAAGATTGTTTTAAAAAGTGCAAATACTATGGTGATTGGTCGAAATAATAATGACTTAATATTTCTCTAAATAACTGTTAAAAACCAGAACACTAACACAACAATTCTAAGTGAACTGTTCTTTGAGAATTTTTGGGTAAATGTTCTGTTATTAAACAGTTCTTTTAAGAACTATTACGTTATTATTTTGACCATTCACTATGGTATTTGCTCTACATTACAAGATTTGGGTTTTTTTGGACTTTCAGGCAGCGTCAAGACAAACTCGGAATCCATCGTCGTCTTGCGTAAATCTGTCAAAGCATATAACAATTCGAAATTCAGGGGATTGTTTTCGTTCATTTTAAGAAAGGAAAGTGGCTTTGCTGATACCATTAGTAGGTAAATTTTATTCATTTATTCATTACAATATTTGCTTGGGCGTATATTTTTTGGCTGAAAATCACATATGATTCGCCATATCTCAATGGTACGACTTATAAATGTCGTAACAATTCGTGCCCGAGTATTTTTACTGCTGTATTGTATATGTAATTGAAAATGAGCGTGAAATTTTGTAAAAATCCATTTTCTATGACCCTATGACCTTTTGCTGCAACAAACTGTTTGCTTGCAGTGTAAGATAAAGCTTTATGATTTTGGGCTGATAACGTCTTAGCTAAACAGGAGCAAAGAAAAAAATACATAGCAAATTTGAAATTTACTCACAGATGTGATGCACTTTAGAAGATTCGCCTTTTCAATGTTGTAGCTATCAATGGTGTATTGCTGTTAAAGAAAACTTTGTATGTTTTGTTTTTTAGGTTAAATATTCTTCATTCATTGTTTGAAGATATGGTCAATTGCCCTAGAGTTTTGACTTCGGCCCAAGTATCGTGGCTTTTGCTCAGGTATTATCTTATTTCTTAGTCACCATTAGTTGTAAGCGGATTAACAAAAAAATCCCGACGTGTTTCCATAACGAGAATAAGTTCCTAAAACCGCGGCATTTTGTTATTCAATTTTTTTTTTCATATAATATTGAGTGACTATAAAAGAGTGGTTGAACTTTGATACATGGTTAACACTGTTTCAATGTTATTTTCATCTTTTTAAACTCAGCATGGTCTGTGTTCGGCATTATTTATCTGATTTCTGAATGAGCAACTGGATAATGTCAAGCACAAGTCAACTACAAAATGCATTAAAGTGCCAATATAATGTTTTTGCGTTTGTGTGTGTTTTATAGTTCGATAGTATGATTTTACTTGATTTTTAGGTACTTAAATCTGAAAAATTGACCATTTACATTGTTTGATTGCCAGTATCAAAAAGCTGTGTAATGTAAATTATGTGGTCACAACTGGAAGTCATTTGTTGTATTTTGTTTAAAATTGCATGTTTTTAGAAAATCTGCGACACAAGATGCCACTCACGTTTGTGATGCTACAAAATAACTTCGTATGCTTTTGAGGAGATTATGTGTAAAATACAGTGTTTTATAAAATAAAAACAATAAAACGCGTGCAGTGATCGGTCTAGAGCCGTGTTTGCATAGGCTTATGCAAAACACATTTGAGCTCAACCAATCAAATCAATCAAAACAATCAATCAAACAATGAGAATTTGCAATTCGATCATGAATACATTTTAGAGGAAAAATTAAGATGTTTGTCTTTTTTGCATTCTTTTATTTTATAAAAGAAATAAAAGATGTTTTTCGTGTTTGCACTGGCTTATACAAACCTCAGAGACATTTTGTGGGAACTCTCGAGCAGCTGCAACCCGCGACCTTCGGTCTCGGGCTTGCTTTGATCTACTCTCGACTTCTCCCAAAGGTCTCCTCGGTTTGCATACGCTCGTGCAAACACAGTAAACATCTTTTCTTTCTTAATTCTAAAAGCCTGTTCCCGATATGAAGTCAGATCTGGGCTCTCGCCCTATTTTTTTTAATTTCATGGTCAAACAATCACTGCCTGCAGTGCCATCATTTACAAGTTGTTTTCGGCGACTAAAACATTCTTGTTATTCGGCATTTCTTCTGGAAAGATTTGTGCTTCCACAGTTCTAGTAAACATCGAATACAGCATGTTGCAAAATCAGACTCGTTTGAAAATTCTGATTTCGCTTTTAGCCCTCCATTAAATGCGTCATAATCGTGTCACAAAGCGAAAGTCACTCCGAAAAAAGCTAGGGTCTAAAAGGGTAATAGTAGGAATAAACTGTATTAAGCTGGCAACGTCACTGGTAAAAAAGACTATTCGCTTTCGCACCTCACTTTTACCAAACTTTCTCGATAATATCCTTTAAGTCACATGCTTTATGGATTGGTCAATCTCACATGGATTGGTAAATGGTAGCCCAACGTGTGACAACAACCGTTGAAATTGTGAAGTCATTAACAGGGAATCTCGTACCCAGGCCTTTCCTTCCACACCTTGCCTCTTCCGACGTTTTCTCTTACGCAATACCCACTCAACCATGTCAGGCCTAGGGACAAGGCTCATTAACAACATTTGTATGCATTGTTGCTTTTTCGCTGAAAAGATTAGAACGTACCTTTAGTTATTGTGATTTTTTTCATAATCCAGGGTGTATTTTCAAGAAGTTCTTCAAAATAAAGACATCGAAGAGACAAAACTTTTCCCCATATTATTGGAGCGTGTTGTGTCCATAATCGATATCGAAGAATATAAAAATAAAATCCAAAGGTATAGAAATGTATGGGATAGTTAGGGTTGTGTAAGGATGTAAGCGTGCGTTAGGGCTCCTTGTTGATTTATCAGTACGGTGTACCTTACCTTTTAACGAACTCAAGAGATTTCTTAGAGTACTGAACTTCCATTCGTAAATGTGTTTTTCACAACTGTTTTATGATATTATTCAAAGTCCCTTAGACACTCACCCTGACATCCAACTATCGTTCGTAAATATATGTTTGTTAACAGTATTTTTTAATGGTTGTTTGTTTTCACATAGTAAAGTTTAGGAAAACATTTGATCAAGTGGATGTACCAGTTTTGTAGACATCGATGTTCAGTTTTACTCTTTTCTATAAGCAGGGCGTAGTAAGAACATAATTCGGGGATGGGTGATTATTTTCATATTCAGTTGTGTCCGACTGCTTCCCCCTCCCCCCGATAAACTTTCTAGCTTTGTCTCCGGGTCTTAGCAAACACTGTTTTCGCTTCCTGTAGTCCAAATCAAAACACTCAGAATGTACTTATCCCCATTGTTCTGAATTTTGCCACGTAAAAGTGAAAATATTCAGGCTCCGTCGAGATAATATTTGAATACTTATAATTGCAGTCTTTTTGCTTCCCAACTCCTATCTATCTTCAAACTACATCCTGACCTGTTGTTCGAGTATTCAAGCGATATCATCGATTTTGTTCAGGAAATGAAGACGTTGGATACAAGTTCCAAGCAGTTCTTTACCAATCTGGTGAGCTTTCGAATATATTTATGTAAATAAATGTCTATTTTGGCAGGGCGAGAATGAGCTTTCCAAAGGAAGAACAAGCACTCCTGAAAGGAGAGGAGGGATTGGGGCAAACACTCATGAAAATGAACGCAAAATAATATGTGTGCCTTTCGAAACTGTTTCCATTCATCAAGGATTCTCATGGATATGTGAGAATTGTCATCCTGAGAATTTAGCAAATCTTTATGTTTTTACGTATAGAGTATGCATTATGTATTTATAGACTATGGTTGACCAATCTTTCCTAATTCTCAGTTGATTAGAAGAAGCAATTAAACCTTTTCTTTAACGTCATTTCTTAGGTGTGGATCATCGGAGAGTATGCATCTAACAAATATGACGTCAGATATGACAATTCATGTGTTATCAAATTCCACGAGGTGATTGATGTTAAGAAAACTAGAATAATAACGTCATGTTACGAGTACATAAGAAATGACATCATATTGAGAGCACTTAGAAATAACATCATGATAAGTTAACTTAATATGACGTCGTATTGAAAGTACTTCAAATTCTAGTGTGGAGTTAGTTGTATGTGCTAAGAATCTCACTTCCCAAAAGCCAAATTCATAAAGTACTTCATTGAGTCAGCTAAGAGAATGCATTTTATGACGTGTTCACTTGATAATGAAAGCATTGTTAAAACTAGTTTGTCTGTTAAACAAGAGCAAACAAATTGATAGAATAACAAAAATATTTATCACAGCTTAATGACAATCTTTGTATGTTTCCTCCACTGAACGTTTGTCGGAAAAATTTCTCTCGTAGTATATATACATATTGCATAGAGTATTAAGGAAAATAGGCTGAATCTGTGGCATTTTCTTGCAGATAATTGAAAGTGTGACCTATGAACTAGCATCAAGAACGAATGCAGATAGCAAGGTATTCATTTTTTCTAGAAGCTCACCTTGAATTTTTTTTTTCAAGTGCATAAATAAAAAAATTGAAATGATAGGTTTTAGTTTGAAATCACTGTTGAGTTTCTATTGTTCAATTCTATATTTGTTTTTGATTAGAGTTAAATACGTATGTTTGCTGTCATTCATTGTAAAAGTTTACGTTTTCCCCTATAGAAAGCTTCAAAGTTCTTTCACCCCTTTCCTGCATAAACGTGTCATGTCCACTGAGTTTATTGCGTTTCATGATTGTTTCTTTGCGACAATCTAATGTAGAAATTGGTCAGAATGTTGAACCTATGTATTTGGAAGAACTAGAGCAAAAATTTCGATGATAGAATTTGCAGAAATAACATTTTCATGTAAATGCATTACTCAAAACCTAAATAATCTTCTGTCTGTTTTAGCTTCAAAAAGACTATTGTACCTCACGCTTGCTTTGCATTTTAATGTCGACATTAGCGAAGGTAATGAATTATTGCCAAGGCATCTTTCATTATGCCAAATTGCAATATGTGATAGAAAGACATTTTAAAACATTGCTAATGGAGCCATTAAAAATTTAATCATCCATCTATTCAACTCAGGCCCAGAGGCGCCGCCAGCGAGATACTTGGGGTGATATTCATGTATCCATTTTATGCCACATTTAGTTCTTTTGAAATAAATTGTGTTTCTCCTAGTATCCATATAACCATGCTCCAAACTATCCACTTAGGTATCTCTGATCAACACAGTGCTCTAAACTAGCCACTTATGTATCTGTGGTCATCAACACCGTGCTCTAAACTATTCACTTAGTTAACTCTGGTCATCCATAACCATTGTCTCAATTATCAATCCAGGCAATTCTGACCATGCTAATTATCCACTCGTACAACTGTGCTGTAGCCGTCCTTGACCGTGGAGTTACCTTTCCTCATGAGCAATTATGTAATAAAATCCCTTTCTTTACCTGACCATTCTCTCGACTGCACATTTAACCAATTATCAATTCACATTAACACGTCTGACCAACTTGTGGTAATATTTATAAATGCCAACACTCATAAACACGACATCATTGTGTCATTTTACAACTACATTTTTTATTGTAATTTCAGCTTGCTTCCAGATGTCCTGATCTTATACCAAAAGTCATCCTTTGTATTCGCAAAGTATCCAAACAAAGAGCTGTAAGAGCAAATTTCTCAACTATGGTCTGTTTTAGTATGCTCTTTTTCAGTCTTTGAAGGTTTATTCCTTTCTTATGATTAGGATGTTTGTGTTGAACAAGCCGAAAAAGCCACAGTTATGAACAGGGCAAGGGAACTGATCAGTTTACTAAATATTCCAAGGTAGGCAAGTCGTTTTGGAAGATATAATCATGGAACTTTTCTCAAAATATTTTTAATTTTTGGAATTTTCATTTAAGTGTTGCACAGTTAATCTTAAGTCCAGACCCGTCAATAAAAGAAGGAAGGTAAGAAAATTGAGAAAAATGTTCCATTGTTTTTTTTTCCGAATTGTGATATGCATTTATGAATATTAGCCAGCCTACCGTTTCAATGATTGATCTTCCAATGGTCTTTACTTCCAAAATCTTCATTTCATTTGTCTGTTGATTTTATTCCATACATTGCATGGTGTTTTTGTCATAGACTTCATCGTGATCGGCACACATCTTTGTCTTTCTTCATGAACTCATCAAGAGATATGATGTTTTAATAAGGTATGAAGCAGAATAACTTTTACAGTTGACCATCTCGCATTTCATTCATCATAAAATGAATGAGTAAAACTAATGAGTGTCTGCAGCTTTAATTATTTAGTTTTTATGTATTTAGGTCACTCTTGTCGAGTCTAAAAAAGTTGCATAAAGTCAATAACTGCAACACTTGCTGCAATTTTTGCTAGTTCACCTTTGTACCCAAATTAAGAAGATCATCCATCCACGGTCAGGTTCACTCACCCTACCACCACTCGTGAGATTCTTGTCATCAAGAAGTTTAATTCCAAATGATGAACTTGGGTCATGAACTAAATGAAAAAATTTTGATTGAAGCATTTTTTATGCGTGTTTCACGTTAAATTTCAATCAAAATGCAAAAATATTAACATCTTGGAAAATCTTGGATGTAGATTAAGCCAAAAAATCAATTTACTGCAGTGAAAAACAAATGCTTTTAGACAATACACTTACTAATATACCTTTGAACATGAAACTCGTGTTTAAAGTTCGTTCAGTTTGCACTGAAAACAGATAATTTCGGTCTTGATGTACAAATAATCATTAAATTTGCGAAGATTGGAATGTTCGATGATGAAAATAGTGAAAAATTAAATGGGTGGTGGCTTTAGTATCGTAGCCGCTGCATGCAAGTTTTAATCATACCATTGAAAGTGTTGGACGTGATTAATTTATTGAAAAATTCATTGTTTTCTCGGATAGGTATTTTCATTGAACCAAGAACTGGCTAGTTCAGTTTGTTTTATCCTTATATTCATACCTCTTAATCCGTAAAATTTCTTTACTAGTCACGGTTTGTGCTTAAAAATTGCTCTTCACCTTGATAGTTTTAAGGAAAAACTATAGCTAAATGGGCTAGAAAAAGGTCAAGCTAGAAAACACTAAAATAGACGAAGATATATTATTCCAATCATAAGTGTATGAAACGGGGCTGCTGCAGCATCACTAGTTTTGAGATAAAAGAGTAACGATGGATAATTTCTTCCGAAAAGTTGGGCAGTAGCTATTTAGAGATTTTCGTCGTTTGTAGTCAAAACATTAGACAAATTAATTACTTTAATTAACAAAATTAATTTTAACAAGCTAATAGCAAGACATTTTCATTCATGGTAAATTCTCTATGACCTTTCCTTTGCTATTTATTTTAATAATACTGTCAGATGAAAGAAATTGTGCATAGATTAAATATGTAAAAGAAATATTTTCTATGAAAACCATATTTGAATTTTTATTTCTTAGGGAGGGGGAAGAGGGAGGCGCAGTTACATGACTTCAAAATTTTCCTTGTAATAATTGCCATCCGTAGTTACGTCTTTTTTGCTTTCACGTTTTCATTGAATTAAATATATATTTGTCGAATAAGTTGACAGTTTAACGTCGTAGAATGACAGAAAACTATAAAGACAAATATTCAAAGTGTATACATTAAACAAAGAGCTGTGTCTTTCACTTTATATAATTTTTTTTCTATGGTTAAATTTAATTCCATCCCTCAGCCCATCTTTACAAATTGTACGACATATTTACATTTTCCTAAACCTTTTGTAATTGTTTTATAATCCGCTATTCGTTCTGAATAGTTCGTTCTGATATCAGTTGTATGATGTTTGAGTAATGAATTCATCGTCACATAATGCATCATGTGGCAAAATTTTAGTAAGCCCTGGCTCCCGGGCCTTCCTTTCTCTACGTCATTGCTTCTTTCTTGTTTCTTTTTTAACCATTTATACTTCTGGGCATTATTTGCAATAAATGCTATAGCATTTTCTGTTCTTACACGCATTTATTTTGTCGCTTTTGTGCAAAATTTCCCACCAATTAGAAATGAGCACAAATCGGTGAACTTTAAGGTTAGTATTAATGAACAAAATAGTTTATCTATAAATAGCTTAGTAAGGTACGATATCAGTTAGTAAAAGCTGAAGTACTCAAGCAATATATACACAAATATGAAGTATAAAACAGTTCAGCAATATTTTTAACCTTAATAATATGCATCAGCCAAGTAATACAGGTATATAGCGTTTTTATAGCAATGAATTTCATGTAGGGCAGTTGTTGTCGGACAAGAATGTGTCAGCACCCCCAATTTTTAGTCCTGTACGCCCATGATTCCAATATTTACACTATTATACAAACAACAAATACATTTGTTGCTGATGAATGTAAGATCATCTCGACATACTAACATTTTTTCTTTTATTGTTGATCACACATAATTATATTATATCTCAGGCAGATATGTGAAGAAAATTGAATGAAAACTTATCATACCTAGGGGCAATTTCATTTTATGCTAGAACTATAGTTAAACACCTTTGAATAAGTCGGCGAGCAAAATGTTCTTGAGAAGGCCGACTAATAACTTTTACAGACAGCGTTTGGTTTGTTTTGAGAAGCGCCATGATTTTTGAATAATTTTGATGGAAGAAGTGAGACTTGGCTAATTTGATCAGCGGCACTCTCACATACTTCATATAAACTACCTAAAAATTATATGTTCGCCTGGCAGGTATTGTCTGACAAATCATGTCAAAAGCTTAGCTAAAGTACAAAGGCTTAAAGATAAGATCTAAAATTTTTTTGGTTCAAAAGTTAGGTTTTGGTGTCCAAAGTACGCAGTGAGTATTTGTTTAGTAACAATGTTGAAAAGAGGCAGTTAGTTGAAGTAGCTGTTAAGGCAAAGTTATTGAACTATAAATTGGACGACTTATCGCTGGAAGGGCAAATGATGCAAGTTGCCCATGAAATACGTAAAGAATTATTAGAAACTCCCAGTACTTTTAGAATTTGGCCACCACCAGAGCACGAGCTTCTGTCCAAAGAAACAGAAATTCCAATGATAACAACCTGTTTTTTGGAAGGAGTCCTCACTAATAAATCAACGAAATCCGCAAAGGTGATGCGTTTAGCGTCTTCAGTTGGACCAGATCTGATTTACATTCCAACAATGGTCAGAAAAAAACGTTAAAGCATACAATCGTTCCTTTTTGCATCAAAAGAAAGACTGGCTCCAAAATAGTTATCAATTGGACACAAAAAGTTTGGCCACGGGATATCTTATGATGATGTGATTATTCTTGAAATTTCTCTGTCAATGGAATATTCAAAAGACCAAGTTCACAGGTCCTTCTCTCCAGCCATTATTCAGCCATCTAAATTTGTCACTTTTGTTTGGGATACCAACGACATCAATCCCGAAAGTCTCAAAGGGCTTAGTTTGCACTGTACGAATGGCATTGTCATCCAGCCGTTAGATGTTGTAATAAATGAGTCCCAGCCCTCTTCTGTAGACGCCTTAGTGTCTCCACAGTGATGTATGAAACAAAAAACGAAAAAGTACCAACCTCTTCTAACAGAGATACCTTCGTATGTTCAGGTGAAGCAAAAAAACACAGAAGCCACGACTAACATTCAGCTATGCATGCACAAAGACGAAGTAAAACTTTCATGTATTTTTCATACGCTTTGGATCATCGCCAGAACTCAAGTCAATCAAACAAATTTTGAGCTGCATATACTTAGTTGGACACGCTTTAATTATTTGTTGTGCGACAACGACAGCAACAGCTACCATAAAATTGGATACCTGCCGTCGATTAGCAAATCGCCAACATCCCATGATACTGTTCTGGAACTCCTCAGTCAATCAAAGGTGAAGGCAGAAAAACTTGGTTTGATCGAAACAGATGTGGTGCTAGATATGGCAAAATACGCTAAGACAGTGGAAGTGATGATGAATCCAAGGTACATAGATCTTAAGCAGTTTGTTGTTTTGCGGCTTGGCTTTTTTCATACAATGTTTATATTCATTGCTGTTATTGGAAAGAGGTTTGCTGATGCTGGTCTTCGCGACATCGTAATCGAGGCAAATCTTCTTGGTGAATCTTCCATTGACCAAATGCTTAAAGGAAAGCATTATAACAACGCTGTGCGAATCCTAAAATACCTGTGCTCTGTTTGGTCGTTTTTCGAATGTTTAAAACTATCAATCATAAGTCTTTCGAAAGCCTTGTAGACGAATGAGCTTTATGAAAGATGAGTCAACTCAGTTGACTTAGAAAAATTCCTTTCCTCTTCAACAAAACAACTTTTAGAAAACCTTAGCCGACATCACACCAATCTGCTCGATGAGTTACAAAATTATGAAGATTCTGTCTTCTCTTGGTTCTCTTGGTCCAAGAGCATCCGTATGGTCGTCATTTTTGAGTATGGTGCAGATATTACTCGATTTTTCAACATCAATCAAGCTCGGGAAATGGAAATTGCATCTGCCATCGACAGAAAACATGCTTCTCTGGATGTTTGGCTATGATCGTCCCAATTACGCACGATTTCTTACATACTACCTGGTAACCATGAAAAAGCTTCCAGAAACACATCCTGCTATACACCAAGAGTTTGAAGCAGGTCATTTTTCAGTCAGAAGACAACCAAGAAGATTAAACAAAATACCATCAGATCAAGATATAGAGCAAACGATCAACAAAGAACAAGAATGTGCAGGTGGAATTGTTGGCTATAGTACATCAGAAGAAACAGCTCAAAGATGGGTATTAACTAGTCATATTACTGCAAAGTGTCAATCAAGGAAAGGAGTTCTTTGGAATGTCCGAGGCTAAATCTCTGACAAAAGATCTTGGAAGAAAGCGAATGCTGCACGACGAAAATTGCGTTCTTCGCTGTTATGATCTTCTTACAGTGTGGGGAACACCGTTTAAAGAAAGTACTTGCCTCGTACATCTGAGTTCTGGATTACAATGCAGCGATGATATTAAGAACGACATGATTAATGCGGAAGAAAAAGGGAGAGAAGCACTACGCAACTTCTTGGCGAAACGAATTGAATTAAACGACAAAGATCTGTTTGCACCAATTCAAAAAATGATGCTAAAGACGTTTGCAGCGATGAAAATTGCGTCATTAAAGATAAAAGCTTAACGTTAAAAGCGGATCGTGATTTATTTGCCCGATTATTAATCATATGTGGCAAGCGCGATGTTTCGTTGAGAGAAGTGCTCACCTATTTTCTTGGTCCTCTTCCTTGGTCTTTAGTCACTGCTGATGGAAGTTATGTAAAAGCTGTTAAAGCTAAGCTACTGGACATTGTTGAGAAAGATGTAGAAGATCCCATGGTAGATTCCCTTCCAGTTGATTGTGTAAGAGTATTTGATGGTATGGTCATCATTCAGCAGCTGGCCTCTATAAGTTTAACAACATTTGGCGAAATGTCCGAATATGTCTTGAAACACATCACCTCCAATTCTGATAAAATCATATATTTTGTAACCGACCAATATTTTGACGAATCTTTTAAAGGTAGTGAACGCAAACGACGTAAAAATTCAGAAAGCATTCGAATCCAGCTGTCAAGAACGGACCAGAAATGACCCAAACAATTCAAAAAGTACCTAAGTGATAGCAATAACAAAATTGATCTTGTGAAATTTTTTCTACTAGATTGGTCGGATCCCGAGCGCTTCAAAGCCACCATTTCAGAACGAATGGTATTTGTAACCGTTGAAAGTGAATGTTATCAACTAGATGTAGCAAAATAACAAAGTAGTGTCAAGAAAAGAAGTTAGCCTTTGCTCCAACCAAGAAGAACCTTTTGAGACAATCAATTGTGTAACTCTTTTCACCTTGACGTATTACGCTTAGTTCACGCGAGCTCGGCTTTGCATACAACAGTGTGTTACCCCGCAGTCTCGTAAACTCGGGTATGTTTCTTTTAAAACTCGGGTATGTTTCATCATTAGCACTTGATTTTTCGGCAGAGACATTTTTTTCCTAGTCCAGGAACAAATAATTGTTGCTTTTCTTCACAGGTGGTCATCTCATTCTGTGTTGTACCGGCCAGTCACATCCTTTGATACTTTTCCCTTTTTCGTCCACGGCCTAGCCGAAGGCCTAGCATTTACTTCGGTAGGGCGTTGAAACGAAGTTGATTGCGCAGACATCGAAGTTGTCGTACGCAGTCCTCGAGTACTGCTATATGGGGCAAACAACCGTCTAAATTCGTCTCTTGCTCTTTCCGACCTTTCAGGAACCGTTTGCTGTGATGTGATGTTCGGTACACTTACAGTGACCTTGTTCGCTACTCTAGAATTTTCCCCATTCTTACTATACGCTATTTATCCTTTAAAACAAAGAACTGTTAAAACCAATGAAATACTTTCACTGAAATAACAATTGTTTGTCATTAATTTTTCGAAGCGCTAGTGCCAGACTGCTGGATAATAAAAAAAATATGCTTAATAGTTGAAAAAAGGCTGAATCATGATAAGTAATATGCGGAATAATTGAAATAAGGTTGAATAATGATAAAAAATGTGCTAAGTAAATGAAATAAAGCTAAATAATGATAAAAAATACAGTGAATAATTGAAAATAGGAAGGTCAATAATATTTAATTTACTACATATAATGTTTAAAAATAAGAATCGTTACATTTAGTGTAATTTTGGCGGATATGGCACCCCATGGACAACGGCTGTGAGATATCTAGAGGATTGGGTATATATCATTGGTGAAATCTCGATTTGTGTCTGTCTGTCTGTTAACAATTCCGGGGGGATTTTTACAGAATGAAGGGGAGCGTACAATGACAACATAGTTGAACCTTTCGGAAATTCTGTAAGTTCCTGTTTGATTTTAAACTTCAGGAATCTGAATAGATATGCAACATAAACAACGTAATACAGTAGATAGTAAAATTGAGTGATCATCGACGTCAATTATACATATCTCGTTTGGCGAAAAACACATGAAATGGATTCACCGTGCCGTATTTAGCCAGCTCGGTTCACATTTTTTATCTTGCGCTCTCTCTATGGTTACAGTGCTTCAGTGAGGGAAATGTTATGTAAGCATGTATTTATTTTCTGTCGAGCTTTTGTGATTACTAAAAAATCGGTGTGGATTTCACAAAGCGTCAAAAATCAAAAAGAATTTATTAAAACGCTTGATGCGAGTTTCACCAAGAATATGATTAAACGTTTGCTCTTTGCGATGACTCCATGTTCAACGATTATACATCATTTAGCCGCAATCGCAAAGAATTATATGCAATAAGATCCTATCTAAATGTCATAAAGGAAATAGTGGAAAGAAAACTACAGTTGTAGAATATTGTCTGTTTCTACGTATGTAAACACGCGTTCGATTGATCTGTTGAGTAATATATTCTTCATGAAGCATCATAAAGACATATGTCGGGAGATATAGGCATCTTATCTAAAAATTGTTTTTATTTGAAAAATTTATCTTTAAAATTGTTTGAAATGTAAAATAAAATACGATGTAAAGCACGGGAGATATTTTTGCCGGAAGTCAACCGTCAACTTTCAGAACGCATGCCTTTGTTTGCACTTACTCCATACAAGGTCAACAGTGCTTCCGATGGCACGTTGTTAAGGCCCGTTCACACGATCCAATTTGTCAGATCCGATTTTGAGATAAGGACTTGTAGTACGTATTCCATATATGGATATATATTGCACAATCCATAAGAGCAAATACACGACGCTAAAGCGCAAATACATGACGATAAAGAGCAAATACACGACGTTAGCAACAACAAAAAGTCAAAATGGCTGCTCGAAGGAGTCATTCGATTTCTGAGCGACATCCATCTGTGTACTGTGATAATGAAACTTGTAGTCCTCTTATTGTACGTTGTGGTCGAAATGACTGTGGCGCTGAAAAATGCAGTGGAGAGATGTATCATTGTCCTTTGTGTCCTCCTGAAAAATTTTCAAAAGAAATTCCATCAAGAGTAAAAGAACACTTTAAAAGCGTCCACTGGGAAAACAGGATTCATGAATTTGAAGGTAAAATGTGCTTATATCTGCGTAGGTTTAATACATAACCCACGTCAATGAGCAAAACGCACAAAGAACTTTGGATTAAATCACAAGTATTGATTAAATCATGAAGAATTTAGGTAATTTTAATAAATAATTTGAGAAATTGGGTTTAAACTTATAAAATATTTAGTTTTCTAAACTGCATCATCACAGCTGAAGATAGGTACTCTCAATTATAAATGAAAACCACATGCTTTTAACAGAAACTAACTTTGTGCTGTGCTATTTCCCTAAAATAGAAAAGCATTATTAACCTATCTTATATTTATTGAATATCATTTGATTGTATGCTCATCTAGTTAATATTGTATTTGTCTCACTATATATCCATAATATCCTATCATTTCCATATTCTTTCTTTACTATTTCTTGTTTTTTTTTATGTAAGGTTTTGACATTCTGAGGTGTAAGCTGTCATGTACTTTTGCATCCAAACGACATGGCTCAGATGTCAAGCATTTCAAAGATGTTTCGCACTATCACTGTTTTGGATGTAATTCTGGATTCAAGCGTCGCAATGAAGCAATTCGACATATAAGAAGTGCACATGATTTACAGCTTTCTGTTGTAGAGTTTGGTTCGGGGGGAAACAACAACAATGTTCTCAAAGTCAACTTTCTCCACATAAAGTAGCCCAACAGCAAGTACCTCAAAACCTACCATTTGAGCAGCAAATGCATCAAACTCAGTTCCCTCAAGTTCAGCAGCATCAGCTGGAGCACCAAGTGACCACTCAGCATCTCACACAGCTGCAAACACAGCAACAACAAGAGCAATTTCTACATATGCGGCTATCTGAGGAAACACACCAACAAAGCAGCACAAACATAGAAATGTCTGAGGTTCAACAATATCAGGAGTTTTCTTACATGCCTGCTCAGTCTCGTTCAATGCGACAACAACCACCCAGAGTTAAATGTCCTTTCCCGGACTGTAAACGAGAATTTCATCCAAATTCCCTTTCAAGCCACATAAAGACCAAACATGCTGCTGATAAAAGAAAGAAAATATCTTCAATGAGGTACTTGAATGGAATATGTGTTGACTCGACAAATGGGGTTTATCTTGTCAGGAAACAACTTAGTGGAACAGATCATCCCATTCATTGTCAATTTAAAACCACAAACTCTCCTTCTATTGCATGTAGTGTTGATACATGTCGTCAACTTAGCGAAACTGCTTCAAGAAGTGGTCAAGCAAATTTTCTTTGTGATCATGTGCAGTCTACATATTTTATTGGGACGTCAACTGTTGTTGATCATTTAAGAGAAGATTCTCTTGATTATATAGTGAACACTTTGAAATGGTTGAAATTTGAACGGAGGTCTGAATGTCTGCAGTGGCAGAAACAAGCTAATGACAAGAATACCCCACTTGTTGTTCAGATGCCTGTCACACCTGATTCCTCCAATCGTTTCTTTCATTTTTCTGTGTTTGCAAATGTTAAACGGGATCATTACTGGTCATTTTGCAAGCGAGTAATTGTATCATATGACAATGAAACTTCATCATTTCATTGCAAATGCTGCCCATCTCGTCGTTCCTGCATGCATAAATGCATTGTTAAGTGGGCAATTGGACAGTGGCATCCCTCTGTTGTTGGCACCACCCACCAATTGATGATGAAATTGGTGAAGATTTAAGTTTACCAGAACCAGAAGATAATGCTGTTGAAGACGTTCTACTTGAAAATCAAAATCAAATTTCCCTATCTGGCAGCTTTTTATCCTCCTTCTGGAGATGTGGCTGCAAAGTTTGTTGAATACCTGTTTGCTGAAAAGAAAATCCCTTCACACCTTCCTTTGACATTAACTGTGGAAAAGGAACAATTTGCTAAAAGGTAACTGTTTATTTAAATCGAACAAAGCAACCTTTTATTATTGCATTGTCTTCACTCCAACGAAAATATTCTCCAACGGTTTAGTTCCTTATTGAAAATGACATTCTTTCCATTAACTAAAACAGCAAAAAGATTTATTGTTTGTATTGACATTGTCTTGTCTCCTAGTTACCTTCCTGTAGAAACCATCTGTTTTTATTGTAAATCACCACTAACTGAGCCACACTGTGTAACAAGAAATGCAAAGCTGGTAACTATGAAAGGGATTATTGAAGGTTTGTCATTAATATGAAACAGCGTGTATATATCATCGATTTAAATCTCGAACTTTAGATAAGACATTGAGTTGAAGATAAACCCAAAATGTATAGTTACACATTTTATGGATTGTTTTGTATAGTTACCAGAGTGCTCAAACCTATAACGGTGAGCTTTGCATAGGGCGAAAGCGTTGAGCGTGTCATATGGACTCTCTACGTAGTCTGTGGAAAATGCTCAAACTATGCATGAGCAGAAAGCGTATTATACAATGTATACATATATGTGTGTGTATCTTTTTCTTTGTTCTTCCAGGAATTTCGCTGTTTGCAAAGTTTTGTGTCGAGTGCAAGATACCGTACAGATACCAGGAGTATTCAGCTGGTGTTCACAATTTTAATGACAACTGGCTTTTAAGTTTGGGAATATGTGATATGATCAGAAAACATCTTCAGGTATGTTATTTTTAAAGCATTTAAGAACCACTTGTCACTATTCCTTCCTCTCTTTTTCTCTTGATGTAAATTTTTTTAACTGGGTGATGGCCTTAACCAAACTGTGCATCATCCATATTGTACCATCCCACTCCCCAATTTTTTCATGTTGATAGTTAAGAAAAACAAGGAAAGGATATTAATAACCAGGTATGAATGCTTTAAATGAGTATGTATTGTATGAAAAATATAGGTTCACAACGCTGTCAGTCGCACTGTTGAGGCAATTGAAAACTGGCTGCAGTTGCGACCATTTCAGTTACCACGTGGTCAAATGATGAACGCGTATCTTCACTTTGAAGCTCTCTCAGATCATGACTATGGGTTTTCTTGTGTTTTGTGTGGACACTTTCCTCCCCTGTTAACTCTAGATGTAGACAAGAAAGGAATCTTTGAACTAGCGGGTAAATTTGACTGATAATTTGGCAAACTTTTTTTATGAGTGGTTTTTGTTACATACTTTTACATTGTCATTTTTTAGGTTTGTTGACTTGAATTTTGATTTTGTTAACTTGTATTCATTTGCATTGTAGTTAGTGAACTTCAGTTGCCAGACCCCGAATCCGATGCTCCTGCAGATGAAGTGGACGCTGAAAAGTACTGGCAACAAGTGAACTGTGGGATCTTATACAGAGGAGTATTGAGAGGTACGTACGTGCTACAATGTTGATGTACTCACTGCACGTGAAAGTTTAACGTTTTTTTCTTACATAATTTATTTTTTGGTTTATTTTTGCTTACAAATCCGGTTTATTTTTGTTTACAAATCCTTATGATTGATTTGTTTGATGTGCACGTAGCGTATACACCATCTGGTGTGTTTGAATTATGATAATGCTTGTAGTTTTTCAATTGTTTGTAGGTACTGAAAAAAACCCTTTAGAAATCAAGCCTTCATATAAGTTTGGGGCCCCATATATTGGCCCAAAATGCAGAAGAGGAAGGAAACTTTTTAATACCGAATACATGAAAGCGTATCATAAACAAAACCTAACATCAGCTGGGGCTACATCTGATGAATGTTCAATTGAAAAGCTCATGGATTTGTTCTGTGAAGGAAAAGTGCGTATTGCTATTAATTATTAGGCTGTGTAGAAACTTTTGGGATGAGTTGGTTTACATAAAAGTCATTCTCTGTGTACTTTTAGGTACCTGTTATAAGAGAAATGGCCAGAAGTTTAAATGTGAGCGACAAGGGGTCGAAACTTGATATAATTAACCGTATAAAATCTGTTTTGAATATCGAAGAAACGTTTCTTAAACTTTTCTCAAAGATGTGGGTGGTTCAGGTAAGGTTAACTTGAAATTGTTTCACAAAGACGACGATTTTCGTAAAGCATTATGTATTGTGCTTCTTACCTTTATTCCTACCTACATACGTTTTATACATTAATCTTTTGTGGATATTGGTGTGTTAGCTTACAAAAATTCATCAAATGGTTTCCTTTTCGGGCAAAAGGTTCAGGTTCAAGTCCTGTCTGATGACGTATGTGAGTTAGATATAACAAAAACATAGTTTTGTACTTTTATGTGTTAAATTTGTTGATATATTGAGTGCACATTGTGTGAGAAGACAGCAAACTTAGCAAATTCATTATTATAATTTCAAATGGATAAATAATTTTTATTTTTGGCACAGGCGGTTGGTTGGGAATGACGTGTCCACATGGAGTATGCTATGGTCTGAAATGGCTATTGCGACAAGAAGGACCACGAGATCATGTGGACATGCTTATGAATCTCGCTGCTGTTCCGAATGTTACCATATTGGATATGGCAAACATGATTGTAGCTCATGCAAGGAACAGAGGATACGACGTTTTCATCCATTCCAAGGTCGTGTTGCTGAATATAGCCTGGAAAATATCAGACGAGCTAATAGTGGTGAGCTAGAGATAGACTGGCCTTGGTTTCCAAACGGAGAAAGATGCGACTTGTCAACTGTCGTACAAAGGTCGGATGGTGAGCAGCTTCTGTGTAATCCCTCAACTAGATCTTCTGATCATTACTGCCTGTTTGATCAATTTCACGAGAAAAATTCCACGAACCCAGCCGATTGCTTGCGAAGAGTGTCTTGCGTTAACCAACTTGCCGGGAAGATCAATTCAGAAACTGCTGAACAACTCAACAACAGACGAAACCGTGATAATTACTTCACAACATCTTTGACAGCTCACAATTCCGTCTTCATGGAGCGATTGGCAACTCATTTTAGTAATGAGAAATTAAACCAACGTATCATAAATACTCATCGCAAGCAGGTAAGTGAGTGTTTTATTCTTTATTTTTAATGGAGTCTAAGTGATGTTGCCTTTTCCAGTTACCGGAATAATCTTTTAAAATGTATGAAATCTTCTGTCTCTTCACAGTTTGGAATGGCTATGAGTTTTAACTCCTTCGGTCAACTTATAAGTAGAAATGAAGATGATGGGACCGAGCAGGCATCACAACCAAAACGCGTCCGTTTGTCGACTGAAAGTCTTTCAACAGCTAACAGACCTGCCACAAGTAGCATTGGAACACTAAATGATGCTTGTGATGAGTTGACACACGTTGCTGAGAAAATGAATCCCTCAGCTATAAGCAGCTACGACCTTGTTATAGACTAGTTGTGACCTCGTCAGTCGTCATCGAAGCTTAAGTGATATTTGACATAAAGGAAGCTCAGTTTCTGTTTGGTTGTTCACAGCTTGGCAAAGAACATTGTAACAAGTCGAATTCCAAAGTCGAATTCCATTACAATCTGTAGATCTAATTCCAATATATATACTTATTCATATAGAACTGATGTCCAATGCCTGAACACTAAATTCAAATTTCTTTCAAGCATTTCATCAAATTTTCTCAAATTCTTATATAATTCATAAAACATCTAATTATACCTAATGTGAAAATTTTATGTAAAATAAAGACGTCCTTCGATTTGAACTGATATATCATTATCATTATCATAATATGCCTGGATTACCAATTTTCAAATATACTATATATAGTATACATACGTATAGATAGCCAATGCCTAAATAGAATCTTAAGTTCTTTGAAGCATTTCATCAAATTTTCTCAAATTCTTATATAATTCATAAAACTTCTAATCATACCTAATGTGAAAATTTCATGTAAAATAAAGACGTCCTTCGATGTGAACTGATATCCTTATACTATATTATATACTATATATAGTATATATACATACGTATAGATAGCCAATGCCTAAATAGAATCTTAAGTTCTTTGAAGCATTTCATCAAATATTCTCAAATTCTTATATAATTCATAAAACTTCTAATCATACCTAATGTGAAAATTTTATATAAAATAAAGACGTCCTTCGATGTGAACTGATATCCTTATACTATATTATATACTATATATAGTATACATACGTATAGATAGCCAATGCCTAAATAGAATCTTAAGTTCTTTGAAGCATTTCATCAAATATTCTCAAATTCTTATATAATTCATAAAACTTCTAATCATACCTAGTGTGAAAATTTTATGTAAAATAAAGACGTCCTTCGATGTGAACTGATATCCTTATACTATATTATATACTATATATAGTATACATACGTATAGATAGCCAATGCCTATATAGAATCTTAAGTTCTTTGAAGCATTTCATCAAATATTCTCAAACTCTTATATAATTCATAAAACTTCTAATCATACCTAGTGTGAAAATTTTATGTAAAATAAAGACGTCCTTCGATGTGAACTGATATCCTTATACTATATTATATACTATATATAGTATACATACGTATAGATAGCCAATGCCTATATAGAATCTTAAGTTCTTTGAAGCATTTCATCAAATATTCTCAAATTCTTATATAATTCATAAAACTTCTAATCATACCTAGTGTGAAAATTTTATGTAAAATAAAGACGTCCTTCGATGTGAACTGATATCCTTATACTATATTATATACTATATATAGTATACATACGTATAGATAGCCAATGCCTAAATAGAATCTTAAGTTCTTTGAAGCATTTCATCAAATTTTCTCAAATTCTTATATAATTCATAAAACTTCTAATTATGCCTAATGTGAAAATTTTATGTAAAATAAAGACGTCCTTCGATGTGAACTGATATCCTTATACTATATTATATACTATATATAGTATACATATGTATAGATAGCCAATGCCTATATAGAATCTTAAGTTCTTTGAAGCATTTCATCAAATTTTCTCAAATTCTTATATAATTCATAAAACTTCTAATCATACCTAATGTGAAAATTTCATGTGAAATAAAGACGTCCTTCGATGTGAACTGATATCCTTATACTATATTATATACTATATAGTATATATACATACGTATAGATAGCCAATGCCTAAATAGAATCTTAAGTTCTTTGAAGCATTTCATCAAATTTTCTCAAATTCTTATATAATTCATAACACTTCTAATCATACCTAGTGTGAAAATTTTATGTAAAATAAAGACGTCCTTCGATGTGAACTGATATCCTTATACTATATTATATACTATATATAGTATACATACGTATAGATAGCCAATGCCTAAATAGAATCTTAAGTTCTTTGAAGCATTTCATCAAATTTTCTCAAATTCTTATATAATTCATAAAACTTCTAATTATGCCTAATGTGAAAATTTTATGTAAAATAAAGACGTCCTTCGATGTGAACTGATATCCTTATACTATATTATATACTATATATAGTATACATATGTATAGATAGCCAATGCCTATATAGAATCTTAAGTTCTTTGAAGCATTTCATCAAATTTTCTCAAATTCTTATATAATTCATAAAACTTCTAATCATACCTAATGTGAAAATTTCATGTGAAATAAAGACGTCCTTCGATGTGAACTGATATCCTTATACTATATTATATACTATATAGTATATATACATACGTATAGATAGCCAATGCCTAAATAGAATCTTAAGTTCTTTGAAGCATTTCATCAAATTTTCTCCAATTCTTATATAATTCATAACACTTCTAATCATACCTAGTGTGAAAATTTTATGTAAAATAAAGACGTCCTTCGATGTCAACTGATATCCTTATACTATATTATATACTATATATAGTATACATACGTATAGATAGCCAATGCCTAAATAGAATCTTAAGTTCTTTGAAGCATTTCATCAAGGTTTCTCAAATTCTTATATAATTCATAAAACTTCTAATTATGTCTAATGTGAAAATTTTATGTAAAATAAAGACGTCCTTCGATGTGAACTGATATCCTTATACTATATTATATACTATATATAGTATACATACGTATAGATAGCCCATGCCTATATAGAATCTTAAGTTCTTTGAAGCATTTCATCAAATTTTCTCAAATTCTTATATAATTCATAAAACTTCTAATTATGCCTAATGTGAAAATTTTATGTAAAATAAAGACGTCCTTCGATGTGAACTGATATCCTTATACTATATTATATACTAAATATAGTATATATACATACGTATAGATAGCCAATGCCTAAATAGAATCTTAAGTTCTTTGAAGCATTTCATCAAATTTTCTCAAATTCTTATATAATTCATAAAACTTCTAATTATGCCTAATGTGAAAATTTTATGTAAAATAAAGACGTCCTTCGATGTGAACTGATATCCTTATACTATATTATATACTATATATAGTATACATACGTATAGATAGCCAATGCCTATATAGAATCTTAAGTTCTTTGAAGCATTTCATCAAATTTTCTCAAATTCTTATATAATTCATAAAACTTCTAATTATGCCTAATGTGAAAATTTTATGTAAAATAAAGACGTCCTTCGATGTGAACTGATATCCTTATACTATATTATATACTATAGTCCGTGATCTGTGACCGATTTTCTTTCATTCCCGTTGGACACCTCAAGGAAGGTCGTGAAAAATTCAAGACAGAACGACTTTTACATGCTTAACGCAGTTTTACTTCTTGTCATCTCCAAAAAGCTGCAGTTTTTTTGCTATATTACATTAAAATGTTAAAATTTGTAGCTCATTACAATTTCGGAATCCGCCATTTTCCTAGGGAAACTTCATGTTATTTATATTTTGTGTGCTAGTGCCAGACCTAATAGAGAGCTATTCCGCACGATAATACTGGCAACATAAATAAAATGTCTGAAAGAAATACATATTTCACTCGTGCATTAGGTTGGATTTTAGCAATTGTTGCGAAGATAATATTTTGAAAGTTATAATCGTATTGTGCAAGACAAGGCGCGCTTTTTTTAAAGGTCTGTCTCGAATTCGTCGTCAATGTCATCATCTAAAAACTCCTCTTCCTCAACATCATTGTCGTCATCAATATCTACATTCGTGCATACAGTACACGACCATACATTTGTGTACTTCACTCCGGCTTTGTTACATGAACAACGTTGGGAGTTACAGCCACGTTGCAGCCAGTCTTACAACCACAATGAACGTTATCAAGTAGGAATTCGGCGCTAGGGAATGGTCATCCATACGATTTCAGACTTGCAGTTTCCCGTCACTCGTTTGCCACCCATTTTCATCCGGAGGAGTAATATCCATTTGTGGTTGTAAACAGAAAGGCCAAAGCGCGGCTTGGTACAAAAATGTAAGTTCCATAAACTTCCATTGCTAATCAAGAGTTAGTGTAAATATTGCTAAAGTCATTCTTATTGCATTCTGTATACAACTGAGAGGTATTTTTTAAAAAGAAGTTAAAAATCTCAGTTAAGAAGCATAAAATCTCAAAACACCAAGCTAGAACTCAACATTATATGATTCTTAGAACAAACTTAGCTACTATTTGTTTACAATATGTCAGATGTGGTAAACTTTTGTATTTTTCAACAATCTCTTTCATAGGTTGTGATGATTGTTAATCTTCAGTTAAGGCTTTATGCTCAAGATCATGTTTTACAGTTCAAGAAAGAATATTTTTCAGTGAGCCATTTCAGAAGCTAGAAAGCTGGGGTTTTTTGCTTGGGTTGAAACTTGTTTTATTGTAAATTTGATTAGCAAGGACTTTCATAGATAAAAGTTGTCTTTGTCATACCATGAAAAGGAGAGTGAAAGAGTTCTGGCACATTGATTGAAAAAGTGATCCTGTATATATATTTTTCAACAAGAAATGTAGTTATGATTCTGATCTATACATACTAATTTACTAATTTACTCTGTTGTCCTTTGATAAAAGTTTATAATGTTGATTTAAAATAAAGAATATCTGAATTATTTTTGAAGTCATTCTTTATATAATCAATGCATGGAAACAGCAACTAAAGATGGTTTTGGGACATTGGTATGTAATGGAGACAAGATCCTCTGTTAGAAGTAAGTGAGCAAGCACTTTAATGCTTAGTGTAGGTTCTACAAAACCAAAAAAATGTTGTCCTTCTATATTTAAAAATTGAAATTTCAGAATTCTACTCTTCCAAAGTAAAGAATGGACTTCACTTATCCTATGTGGAGTGACCTTGTAGAAAGAGTGGTCAAAACATTGAATCAAAGTAATTCTTGTGTTTAGTGAGTCTAATAGCCTGATAGCAATACTTTTAAAACTTTATTTTTGCTCTTGCATCACTTAAAGCAGGTTAATCAGAAAAGCATGTACTTTATAGAATCTGTAACATAGCTGTAAGCTGCTAAATGTTTGTTCTACAATTTTTACATTTATCTTAGGCCTTTGCATAATGATGTGCCTCTTTAAAAGCTTATTAACAAAAAATTCTTTAGTGGTAATGATCAATTTCTTACCAAGCTTTAGTGTTTAAGGAAAAATTTATGGAAAGATGCGTTGCTATCCTTCGAAAAGTGAAGTTGCGCACGATTTAACCATGAGTTCTTAAAACTGACAAGATTTAGGTCTAAAACAGGCTTCTCCTATGTTGGTACATAAGTGCAAAGGTGACAGTTTAGGTTTGCTTCCAAAATTTTCGATAGAATTCTTCATTTAAAACTTACATTTTACTTGGACTTTATTAAGAGTCTCGCCTTTTTGCCACCTTTCAAGATGGCGCCCGTTAATAAATTTGCCTCACCATGACAACGGCAGTTAGATCAAAGAGTTCCGCACCAAAAAAATGGCGACATTCAAAATTGAAGGAGCGAGGAATTTTGAAATTCAACCGCGAAATACTAAAAAACTGCAGCTTTTTAGAAGTGACAATAAAAAGAATATCAAACAGCAAGTGACTTTCTATCTATTTTGAAAATTTTGCGACCTTCCTTGAGGTGTCCAACGAAACTCATTTTTAAAGCATATTTTTGAGGCACAGATCACGGACTACTATATATAGTATACATCCGTATAGATAGCCAATGCCTATATAGAATTTTAAGTTCTTTGAAGCATTTCATCAAATATTCTCAAATTCTTATATAATTCATAAAACTTCTAATCATACCTAGTGTGAAAATTTTATGTAAAATAAAGACGTCCTTCGATGTGAACTGATATCCTTATACTATATTATATACTATATATAGTATACATACGTATAGATAGGCAATGCCTGTATAGAATCTTAAGTTCTTTGAAGCATTTCATCAAATATTTTCAAATTCTTATATAATTCATAAAACTTCTAATCATACCTAATGTGAAAATTTTATGTAAAATAAAGACGTCCTTCGATGCGAAATGATATCTTTATACTATACGTTATACTATATATATAGTGTGTACATAAACAATTTTTTGCGCATTGCTGTAACCTTTTAAAATGAGCACTACAGGAATCGAACCCTTATACTAGAAACAGCTAGCAAACCATTATGCTCGTTTAAAGGACAACAACAAACTTTTCTGTTTTCCATCAAATTTTATCACGTTATTGATTGTTCTTAGTCTCCTTGATTGATCACAAACGCAAACTACTGCAAAATACAAATAGCTGATATTAATGTTCGAGGCATATAAGAATATTATCACAATTTTAACGCAACCTGGGCACATTCACTTCTTCATTCAGGCCATGCAGTAAAACTTATTTTAAATGACAACTTTTCCCAGAACTGTTTCACCCCCCGAATGATAGGTCCCAAAGAAATTATGAATTTATCCACACTTGTTTTGAAAGGGATACGTTGCTCTAGTTTGGGTGAGATGTCAGTGAGCACTTGTTGCTGTAGAATCTCAAGTTTTTCTGTTGAATTCTGTTACCTTTTCATGGTGATTGGGAGAATACTGGAAGAGTGCTCCATCAAACACTCAACGATATTAGTAGAACATCTAAAACATTCAGATGCATTAGACGATAAACGTTCAACACAAAGAATAGCACAATTCGTTGCACGTTTGGCTCTGGTTCGTCCAGACCATTTGTTGTTTGTTACAAATCGTTGTAAAATAAGCAAATCAAACATATGATAATTAAATGGATTCAATAGACTCTTGAATGCTTTGCCGAACTACTTAAGAGGCAATATTATTATCATATAATATAATTAGAAAATAGTTTATGACGTTAATGATAGAAGAACATGGAAATCTACATGTATGTCTTATGTCTAATAGGAAATCTCTATAGAACTGTCCATTGAAAATCTTGTTGTTTTTAATGTTTTCATATTACGTTTAAAGGACTGCTGTAATTGGAGAAAGTTCCTAGCCAATTGGTAGTAATCTATGTTACTTTCTGGTGAATATGTTGGGAGATTGGTGTCATACTTTATGGACATAGTAACGTTTTTACAAAACATTGAAATTTCTGGTGCAATCTTATATCATGTTTGGATCAATTGTTTCCTTTGGACAATTAATGAGTCGTGACATTCTACAATTTTAAAACTGCTGAAAAGTGCTAATTCAACTTACTTTTCAGTTTTCTGCGTTTTGCGATGCTCATTTTCTAACGGCTTATTACGATTCCTGGACTAATCGCAATAAAACGTGTATGTACGCGTTAATGAACAAAAAATACAAAATTGAGTCAACTAAATGCAGTAAATTCTTTCTGAACCGTATTGAACATACTTGTAACTTATTTACGGCACTCTAAGGAAACAGTGTGTTTTGTGGTTGAGAAACGCTGATGCATATTGCTCAGGAAAAAAGCTAAGGCAACAACAGCCAATGGTTTTGAGGCGAAAACGTAAGAGCACACAGGATTTTACCGTTAAAAGAATCATTAAATTAGTTAGTGCTGCATTCAATGTAGTAATCAGAAATTTTTATCTACCACAAATGTCACTAAATCAACGTCAGTTTTGCAAGCAAATCTTCACACTTGGCTTGGACAAATAACTGGAAACAGTGGCGGATCCAGTGTACCTCAAAATAAATTATAGCTCCTCAATTTGATATTCAAATTACATTCAGAAAAAACTATTGGTTTTGAATTTCTAAAGAATATAATTTTGCCAATGAATTTGCCTCTAAGATATATTGGATAAATGAACTTAACGTTGCGGTTTAACGATAAAATGGATCTATTAGCTGCTTTCGTTGAAAAGAACAGTTTCTCTCACTTCTTTCCACATATCACGTTGACACGTCATGGAAGTGCCAAATATTTTGTATTACTTTATCTCAAAATTTCTTTTAAATAAGATTCAATATGTACTAGTACGAAACCCTATGTAATGTACTTTTTAAAGTTATGGAACAATTATCTTTATAATATTGCCTTATTTATTTTCTAACTTGCAGTACATCACATTGTATTTTTATCTCAATTTCAAAAAGTTGCCCGACTAGACGAACGACGGATGTCACTCCCCTGCCATACCCCCTCCCCCTTCCCAAGAAGTTTAAACCGTGTAGGACGATTAGATTACAAAATTGTATCTTTGAGTTGCTATATCATTGAAATTATAAGATAATATCTTCTGAAACAGGCATGCACATGCAGCCAACAACTTCAACAGTTTTTAGAGGACACTAAAAGGTTATGCACCAGAGTTTATGAGTTTTAGAGGTTATGCACCCTCTCCGACAACACAGACATGAGACAATAATGCCTGTCTTATACTTCACATTTTACATGAGTCAAATGCATTCAAAACAAAAGATAATGAGGAATTTCATCTCATTTTCTTTTATCTTTAATGCATTTAACGCATGTAAAATACAGTCATGAAACAATAAAGTCATTAAACAATACATTCATTGAACAATATAGTCATTAAACAATACAGTCATTAAACAATACAGTAATTAAACAATACAGTCATTGAACAATACAGTCATGAAACAAGAAAGTCATTAAACAATACAGTCATTAAACAATACAGTGATGAAACAATACAGTCATTAAACAATACAGTCATTAAACAATACAGTCATTAAACAATACAGTCATTAAACAACACAGTCATTAAACAATACAGTCATTAAACAATACAGTCATTGAACAATATAGTCATGAAACAATACAGTCATTAAACAATACAGTCATCAAACAATACATTCATTGAACAATATAGTCATGAAACAATACAGTCATCAAACAATACATTCATTGAACAATATAGTCATTAAACAATACAGTCATCAAACAATACATTCATTGAACAATATAGTCATGAAACAATACAGTCATTAAACAATACAGTCATTGAACAATATAGTTATTAAACAATACAATCATGAAACAATACAGTCATTAAACAATACAGTCATTGAACAATACAGTCATTAAACAATACAGTCATTGAACAACAAAGTTATTAAACAATAAAGTCGTTGAACAATACAGTCATTAAACAATACAATCATTAAACAATACAGTCATTGAACAATAAAGTTATTAAACAATAAAGTCATTGAACAATACAGTCATTAAACAATACAGTCATTAAACAATACAGTCATTAAACAATACAGTCATGAAACAATACAGTCATTGAACAATACAGTCATTAAACAATACAGTCATTAAACAATACAGCCATTAAACAATACAGTCATTAAACAATACAGTCATCAAACAATACAGTCATGAAACAATACAGTCATTGAACAATACAGTCATTAAACAATACAGTCATTAAACAATACAGTCATTAAACAATACAGTCATTAAACAATACAGTCATGAAACAATACAGTCATTAGATAATAATGTCATCAAACAATATAATCATCAGCCAATAGGGTCATTAAATAATACAGTCATTAGACAATACAGTCATTTAAAAATGCAGTCATTAGACTATGTAATCATTAGACAATACGATCATCAAACAATAAAGTCATAAAAAAATCATCAGAAAATGTCATCAGACAATAAAATCATAAAACAATACAATCATCAGAAAATATAGTAATCATACAATAATGTAATGAAACATAATAATCATAAGACAATGAGGTCATCGAACATCACAGTCAACAAACAACATAATCAAGAGACAACCCATACTTCAGAGAACACAGACAGTTATTAGACCACAAATCTAATAGAGACACAAACATACAAACTAGAAAGTTATCTGATTAGAAATACCATAAAAAACAAGGCGACTAGAAATGTAATTTAAGAAACAAAAGATTTAATCACTTTGGAGCCAAAACATAAACAAAGTTTGTCCATCTACTGCTGCAGCAACTAGTTTGAGTAAATTTCGTGAGTTGATAAGATAAAATACAAAGCATTAATAGTTATAGTACCTTCTTCATTACATCGAGATGGGACTGCTTTTATCAATAGAGTACAATCTTTTTTCCATTAAAGACCAAAGCCTGTCTCACTTGCCGCCTTTAGTGAGGCTGTATTCATAGAAAGTAAAACCCACTGTTGACAACCAACCACGTCGTGTATTTGCTCTTTATCGTCATGTATTTGCGCTTTAGCGTCATGTATTTGCTCTTATGGATTGTGCAATATATATCCATATATGGAATACGTACTGTATGTACATATGGATTTTGACGGATACTTATACCGATCGTGTGAGCACAAATAAAGTTAAGCCTGTTTTCCACTAATTTTGCATAGTTTCTATCTTTAATCGTGAATCCTTACGTAATGCCGTTCTGCCTCATTTATGTGTGTTTTAGTCATTCGTCACTTATATATAAAATTAATAACTGTGTTCAATGTTGTTTATAGATTTTGTTATAGGGTCTCTTTATGGTAACATTTCATCTCATTTGAATTTGATAAAGTTTACTGACGAAACGAATAGTGCTTTTAATTATCGATAACAAATCCACCATTGTAAAAGAAATAAGTACCATGGTATATGCAAATGTGATCTCTAGTTTGAATAGCTAGACTAAAAATTTTTTGGACTCAAGAAGTTTGTAAAATATCCGTACGTTAATAAAATATTTAAAAACACAGTTTGTGTCATACTAAATCACATTAAATGGATATGGTCCCTAATGGACATAACGAAACCCGCTGTCTTTTGTTGAATTTGACTATCAATTTTGCATGTAATAATGTATTAACATCAGTTGCAATGTTGGTAACGATTTTATTCCAAGTAATCAACGTGCATGTATTGAATTTCAAGCCCTGTGACTCCCCTCTCTAATATTTGACTATTTACAAGTATATAAATAAAATACATTGAAAAATAGGGAGTTGATGTTTTGTTCTCAGCCACAGATGAAGCATTAAAGTGCTTATCTCACAATTTTTTTTTTCGAATTTTCTGATTGAGGTAAAAAAATCATTTTAAAAGTTACTTTACAATTTTCTGATTGATGGCTTCGTTTATGAGATAAATGCGTTTCTTTTCTCAAAATCGGCAATAATGGAGAAAATTGCTGCGCGTTCAATTTGCTTGATGAGAGCCTGAATCGAGAAGTGTGTGACGTAACATAAGGACAGGAAGTTTTTCTGAAGTGTGACTTTTGCTATAATTTCTACTTTATTTACTACGGCTCTGCATCAAAATGCCTGATAGATGTGCAGTTTTCGGCTGTTCAAACCGAGCAAATTCTGCGGAAAGAATTTCTCTTCACCGCATACCATTTTACGGTGATGAGCGTCCTGAAGCGAAGCGAAGACGTAAAATCTGGGTGAATTTTGTTGCAAGAAAACGCTCGATGGACACCGACTAAGTATTCGGCTGTTTATTATTGTGATGGCAAAGTAATTTGGGCAAAGTTCAAATCTTTCCTGAGTCACATAGTAGACAAGCACACCAATTTGGATAATCCACTGTTTTCAAGTTGTTTTCATGGCCCTGATATTAAACCAAGGGAATATTTGTTAGAAGGTTTGTGAAGGCATTATTTAAAGATAACTTCCCTAACAGTTTATCATCATTCTTAATTGTACTGTTTAAGGTTCAGTTGCTCATGAAAAGCTTAGCGCTAAATTGTTAAACCCACAGCTGATGAAGTCAATTCACCAGGCTTCACCAGTTGCTCAAACAAGTTGTTTGGAAGGATTCCTTTCTGTCCTGAATCATTTTGCTCCAAAAATGATTCATTATTCCTATGTTGGAATGTATTGCAGGTGGGCAAAAATTTCCAATATGACAATGTTAGTTGTTTTGCAACTTCCTCAAGTCTTAATTGTTTAAGACACATTTTGGCATCCATCCACTTCAACAACAACTTAAGGCGTGATGTAAAGATGAAGAATGATGGCACTTTCCAAATAAATGTAGTGTATCCAAAGTCTAAAAATGGTGAAGGAACTGTGAGGGATGTCAGAGTTAAGTCCAAATTTGGTAAGTTGTTGCTAAATGTGTTGCTTTGCATCATTTCATAGTATTGAATACGACAATAATTTCTTTTTAGAGTATGTGGATGAATTATTTGAGAGTGTGATGCTGTCAATAAAAGACAAAGCGCATTATCAAATTCACAAAATCTTTTGAAAGAAATGTCCCCACCATCAATGAATGTCATGCTGCAAAAGCAACCCAGAGCTGAGGTGTTACTAAAACAGGTCCGTTGAAAATGCATTGTGGTCAATGATGTCCCTCCCTCAATTCCAGGTAATTAATAATGATTATATAAGATGTGGTAGCTAAACATGGTTTGAAAATCATTTTAAATAATGAAAATGTTTTGTTTCATGCCAGCAGCTACCAGTGTGCCATTCAGCTGTCAGTCAAAAGTGGCAGTTTCAAAGAAAAAGTCAGCCAAAATGTTTGACATGCAAGAAGCCAATGAAAGGTCACAAACATGTGGCAGAGTGCCCAAAAAATAGGAAAACTTAATTTTCACATCACTCATTTATTTCATTTTCTTCGTACCCTCTAAATTCCAACTTTTTATCATTAAATTTTGATTTTATTGCATGGTATGCACATGCTGGTAATGGTCTTCTTTCTCCTAAGCATCAATAAATCATAGATGTGGATTCTCTGTATGCAACACATCGTAAAAACCTGAATATAAAGCCAAATCATTACTAATGTGTCATAACACTAAAATATACTTAAATACTGGGAAATAACATAATATGCTATCATACATGTTTTCAGATCCTGTTTCTCTGTATCGTCTTTGTTCTCTGGTTTTGTATTTCCTAGCAGCCATTTTTAGCGACCACTTCTCCAAACAAACTGGTCTGAAACCTGGGTGTAGAGTGACACAACATGGAATAGTTGACAGATCTGCCAGAACCGACTGGTGTGTTAAGCTTTCAGCTACAGACTTAAGTTCTTGGCAGCACCAGGCCTCTAGAGGATTCTGAAGAAGTGTAACTTGTCAAAAACCACACTTGCACCTGATCAATAAAGAAAATCACATTAAAAAATTGTAATCAAGCATCTTTTAACAATTTTTTACCCAAAAGTAAATAAAAAAAGCGATGGTAATCTTGAATAGAAAATTGCACTTTTATGTCTATATTTCATAACTTGAAACCTGAATTGAAATACATTTCATAAGTTGAATTAAAATTAGAAATTTTATTACTCACCAAGAACTCAACTCAACTGTGTGATCAAGTCTTTGTAGCATTTCAAGTTGCTTTTTATGTTCATTTGACTTTTCCACGTAGTCTTCATACCATGCTTGTTCGGCCATTGGTTCATCAGCGTATAGATAGGACTCGGACTCGCCGTGATTTCCATCTATTATATTATATTCCTGGTCATTAATGTTCCTTGTTTCGTCCTCGATGACATAACCGGGAATATAATCATACTCCGAATCACATTGCGAACTATGAGCTTTCGAATCAGAATTCAACTCCGCCATCTAATTGTTGATATCAAGCGCTTGACTTGTTCCTTAAGTTACGTCACAGAGACTTGATCCAGGCCCTATGCCAATTATCAACTTTTACTGTCAAATTTCATATTTGATCAATAATAATTCGAAAACAATGCAGCGCATGAAAAAATTGTAATATAAGTTTTAGATTACTTTTGAAGAAGCAATACGAAAATTCGAAAAAAAAAATTGTGAGATAAGCACTTTAACGTGTCTAAATTGAACGTTTTCTTCGTTTTTCCATCCTCGTAAAACGTCTTGTTTAGTGAAGTCTTTATTGTTTGTTACGTCGTTATTGAACAATCACTTGTGCATGTAATAGAAAGTACACAAGAATGGTTGAAAAACAAACACGTCCAATTTATACGCTACGCTGCACGATGAACTTATGATTTCTCAAATTTTCTAAAATTTTCGCACAATGCACAACAGAGTTCAAAATTTCAACTCATAGAATTCAATTAAATTTTAAAAATTTTCTTTACGGAAGGGGTTGAAATCTGGACATTTACAAAGTGCTCTTCCGGTTTTCGAGATAAAATTTTTTGATTGTTTTTAATTTTAGATAAACCAGACAACGGCAAAATACATACACGTTAACACAATTTTTAGAAATTTTGATGAAATGACAGTTTCCTGGCCATTATTAATTGTCTAACGTTTTGCTATACCATGTAGTGGTCAAGTATTTATCAAATTCTGTCCTTCTTTCCAGGGGCGGATCTAGGATTTTTCAAACATCAGTCATAAAACGTCGAAGGCGCTACGCACCTGGGGGGGTCTGAGGCATTCTCCCCTGAGAAATTTTGAATTTCAGAGCCTTGAAAATGCCATTTTCAGCGTTTTAGAGCAATACAAAATGTATTTGTGGGCATCGTTTTTGCGTAAAAACAAAACATTTTGCTTACGTTTTTTTCAAAAAAAATAATGAAGTGAACAATACTTGAATGTTTTGCCAAATATTTAGGCTCATTATCATGCCAAATATATGGCTCATTAGCATGTCTAGGAACGTAAAATTTATTTTACAATAATCCCATTTAAAAACAGATATAGTCTTTAAAAATTTCTACCAAGTTGTCAGGCATAGACCCCCCTAGAGACCCCCATTCAAACCTCTATGTAATGAATTTAGTTAAGTTAGAAATTTGGTACTACAAGTGACAGTTCATAGATATAGAAAAGCTCAGACTTCAAACCATGCAAGTTTATTGTAACCCTTTACCCATCTCCACATCAGTGCCAGCAAATTCACCTTTTGAGAAAAAACTCAAAATTTTTTTCTGCCAAAGGTTAAGGAAAAATTATCAGAGTGAAAATTTGCAGTTAAGGACAGCTTAATGCCATAAATGTTTATTAGGCATTTCACTAGACTATTATCTCCTGTAAGTATATGCAAGGTGTGCTATATAGCAATCACTAGTAGCATTGTATTTGCAAATACAAACAGAATGTAACCAACATGTCTTTAATTATATAATTACATGAATGTTAAAATTGGTTCATGTGTCATGCTTACTGGTTATGATAAATATCCTTTCATATGATCAAAGCTTGTTTAAATGTAAATCAGAAATAATTTAGTTTAGAAATTATAATGATCATCAGAAAATTTACCTAGTGATCATGAAAATACTTTGCTGTTTTGCCAAATTTCAAGGTTTATCTGCATACATAGAAAGGCATTTTTACTTTATAGAAAATGCTTTTCATACATCAATAGCCCTTTGAATTTATGGCAAACAATCTGGTATGAGCCGTAGATTGACAGACCTTTACATCTCTACATGAGGTGTTCAGTTAGAAAAGGGATAATATGTGACATGGGACAACATTCCATGTATGTGAAATACTCAGGTTTAATACCATTCCAGTCAAATTGTCAAAATAAAAAGCTTCATGGATCAGAAGACTCAAAATCACAGGTTATAGTAAACAGCTTCTCATGTAATCAATGTTAGTTTTCTCAAATCTTAAATAATATGTAGTATAACTGTCCAATGATTGAATGATCAATGATCATAAACTGAAAAACCCCAAACATTTGTTTATGATAAAGTAAATAATAGTATGGCGCCTTATGGCTACAGATTTTTTGTCCATTGAAATATATTTGCAGGAATGTAGGATTTCGCTGCCGTATAACGGCCACGATTCCCCAAGCACTAAAGAAATCATAGCTAAAAGTCCTTTGGCAACAACAATTTTAGAAGCATCAATCTGCTTACCATACGCCCCATATTGACATAAATTGCATCACACACTCACATAATTGACTTTGATATATTACATTCATGCATACACTTCACTTGTTCTTTACTTACGATTTTGGATGTAAATTTCTGCTGATAAAACTCAAAACAATGTTGGCTTTCTTTTGAACATCAATGACTGAAATGTCGCTCGCGAGATCGTCTTTGCCAAGCATTTAAAATTTATCCATAAATTTCCACCCTCTTGAAAAAATTCACATTTTGGACAGCAGCATTCATGTCAATATATGAATTTGTAAAAGATTTCCATAAATTCCATCTGATTGTAGTTTAGTTTCTATCATGCTTATAAAAATTACTATAAAACGATCAAACTTTCAATTCAGACAGTGAGCTTGACTATGTTAGTTCAGTTGGCTATCAGTCGAAATCCGTCAAACCAATCACAATAAAGCAAAAATTCAAATGAACCAATTGTAAGATAGCAATTGGACTCCCTTATACGTCCGGCCACCCTTATTATCAGTCGAGACCATTCCAGAGTGTCCACTGATCTGGCTATTGACCAATAAAATAAGCGTTTTTGACCTTCATAGACTCCTTTATCCGTCAATCCACCCCGCTTATCAGTCTGTTATTCCTGGTCAATTAAAATTCAACTGATCTGGTTACCAACGAGATATTCATTGGATTAGTCATTAGTTTTCAATAATAAATAATGCGGGATTTTTATCACGAAGTAAATGCGATAAGAAAATAAGAATAATTAATGAATTTTTAATTAATATGAATAGGTAATTTTTGAATTTCAAACATCAGTCGCGCGACGGATTTGACATACTCTAGATCCGCCCCTGCTTCTTTCGTTCCAGATGTTGGCAACATTGGTCTGTTCTTCCGCTTTAGATATTTTGTACATAAATAAATAGATTGGACGTCAACGTTTTGTTTTGCTTTTTATAGGTAGAACAACGAAATGGCTACTTTCGAATGGTTTTACTGTTGACCCAACTATTACAAAACTATTACAACATTTACAAATTTCCAACTATTACAAAATAAAAGGTAGCCCGACCAACCTCAAACAAAGAAGATGATAGGGACAAATATATGGAAAGAATTGTTTGCAATTTTACTTCATTGAAACAAACTCAAAATCTTGTACCAGTTGCAGATTTTATAATTTTGAAAGTTTCTTGTTTGTTGATTTTGCAAGAAATAACTTACAACGACAGTGCCTCTTTACAACAATGAACCCATATTAGGCACCCATTTTATTGGGATGTATATTGAGTTAATTATGAGTTTTCTTCAAAGAGTTATTGTTTTCCCCAATATATTTTTTGTGTTGCGCTCAATGTTTCGACGATTGTACTTTTTTCATTGAAACGCCTTTTGTATACATTGTTCATTGAAAAAGGAAATAGATTATCATTTTATGGTGGCTGTTATTGACATTTAATGCGGATTGTAGATTAAATATTACTAGTTGCTCACATATTTTCATGATAAATTTTGCTTTGTTTGGTAATTCAGAAACATGCTTTTATGAATAATCGATTCTTTCAATATAATTGGAATAAACACACAGTCCATGTCTATTTCTTTTTTAATTAAGATGTATTCTCAACACCATATCAATATGCAAAATAAAGATTTAGAAATTCTTTGTTCGTTTTCTAATTTTTTGACATG